GCTAGACAAAGAGGTACGTCTATAAAAAACAAAACTACTTCCTGCTTATACTTTAAACATAGAATGTTTAGTGAACACATGTTTCCAACATTGTAACTGCTATAGGGACAGCTTATGGAAGCTGTTGTGCGATGTGGGAACTCTCCTGACATGTGTTCAGACATGAACCTTGGTTGTCTCTACACCATGATAAACCCAACTGTGATACCGGCTAAATCTGAACGTCGAATTGCACCTTCCACTTTGAGATTGTCCTTCACAAATAGAGGTGCGTTTGAAGGAATCCATGAATATCGCAGCACCATGACTTTTCCAGATGACTGTGCCCATCAAGTCCTTTGTGATTACAGTGTTTCTCCTGCAAGTCTCCCACTCTGTTACTCAGGTATTTCTTCTTCGTGCTTAACCAACTGAACACAGCATCCTGCATCTTAAATTGATGCACAAAATTTTTTTTTCCCCTAAATATAATATTTACAGACCACATGGAACCAAATAACTCAACCAGATTCATGCTTCAGAAATCACAGGATGCGTGACGCACATAACAGAACCACTTAGGGTCAATTCTGATACATTTATGTTCCAAATCTATCTGGAAGACATGAGGTATGCTTCGAAATCAGTTTATGTTTTATACGTTTGAATGGAAATTGGTCTGTATTAACACTCATTAGTTGTCTTCCAACTTCATAGTGGCAATAAAGGACTTGTGAGCTACATCGGAACGCGGATTAAACAATTCATTCATAGTGCTGATGGAACCGAGGTGCATTATCCTCTGATTATTACAGCAACAGGCCTCACCCGAAATGTCCACGAATTCACCCATATTCCGCCGTTTTGTTTCGTGACATCTCCTGGGACCCGTCTCATTGTGCAACCATACAATGAAACGACACATCTTTTAATGAACAGGTATGCTGTACTATTTGCATCTTTCTTTTCATTATATGCATCTTCTTCTACCAGTTAGCTAATTGAACACAACAAACCTACTAGGTTCTTTCATAACAGATTGCCAGTGGACATCATTGACTACAGCTCGAAGGAACGCCTTGGATACCTTCGGCGCAAGATTCCTCCCAGAATTTCACTGCTGGAATTGAAAACCAAAGTTCCATTAGGAGAAATGGAAACTGAGGTGACTTTCCTTACCTTCTTTCTGCAACTGTAGATTGTTAAGCAAGTATATATGAAAATTATCAAGCATCCTCAGGTGACCTTCCAACAAAATAAATGTTTTAGTTACTCACAAAAACTGGATTTGACAATTTTCCTAATTCAATCCGTGTGACAGATACTCTATCGATGCAAATTGAAGATACTTAAGTTCCATCTTGGTTCTGAGACCTGCAAAACGTTTCCTGAAGACACTGAGTATTTCCAAATTACAACTACTTTTCTTTTCCTTATTGTTAAGTAACAATTCATTGCTACCACATCTCTAATCTACGTATACGTTTAGATTGTACTACGAATTGCAGGCTGAATGCGAATCAGGAAATCACACCGCAACAATAGTTCTGAATCATCAACCTTCTCTTGCTCTAATCCGTATGCCACCGCTCGAGTTCCAAATGATGCCATATGACGAGAGAGTTGAGTTGCTCAAAACATTCTGCAATGTTCAGCTAATGGCAGAACTGTACATCGTGGGATCAGAAGATTCAGATGAACCCCACATCCGCATGTTTGCGATTTGGGATTCAAAAGCATTTCAGCCATTGCGAGAACTTAAATTGCGCATCTGACCGAAGCCTTACGTTGCAGTCAAAGAAGGTACATTCCTTCCTACTTTTGTTTTGCATTCAGTGGAACATTAGTGCTCGTGGGCACAACCATTTTTTGCGCACTAATAAATACCCACATGTCTGTTCTTATTGCAGCTCTTAGGACTAAGGAACGAATTGGGTTGTTGGCTGAGGAAGGATCAAAGTAAGGCAGGCCCAGAAGACATGGATTGCAACATTATTAGTTAATTCGATATTTTGAGAATTGGAATAGTCCATCTTTATTTCCATTCTGAACATAAACTGTTCTGGTACGTTGTGTATGGTAGCTACCCTTTAAGCTCAACCATCCAAATAGTTCAGATCTAAACAATGTACTTGGCAATGCACGTTCGTATTTTATTCGTCTTAGTTATGCCCTTTCTGCAGTTCCTTTGTTGTACATGTGTTTGAGTGTTCTGTCTTCACTCTTGTGTCGTTACTGTTCTGTTATATTAGATCTCAAGATCATTACAGATATCAATAACCACCCCTGATTCGCTATCTACAGTGTACTATGTTCCTAATGTAACCTCCTGTAATTCGACTAAAATCGGTCATTCCCTTCTAGCCTCCAGTGTTAGTATGTTTCCCCCGTTTGCTGTACTGTTGCCTCAGTTGAAAAGTAATAGATTCCCTTCACACCACTTGTCTTTTAGGCCTTTCTTCTACGACCATTTTTATTGTATTTTGAATCATTTTGGCCCGCAGAAACACTGAACAGTTCGAGAGAAAGTTTATGTCTTTTTGTTGTTTTATTCAACGTTTAGGAAGATCCCTGCTCTTATCTCACTTTTCATCCTCTCTCATCAACTTTACTCTTCTTCCGCTATTTCCTCACTAAAATCCTGAATCAGCACACTGTTCCTGTTCAACCTTCCTTCTGGTGTCCTCCGGTTCGATCTCCGTCCCCAATTTCCTCACAAAAGAGACATGCTTCCGCAAAAGCTGCTTCGGGATTTGAATGGAACTGAAGGGCCAGAAGCTGCTCTCAAGATACGCCTCTTGCATGTTTGGGGTGATTGCAATTCAGAAAATCTATCCATTCTCTCACAGTTTTGCAGTCTTTGGACCGATTCCAAGGTAATATAGCATTTCCTTAAACGTTTTTTTTTTGCAGTTACCAGTGCAAATTGTGCTCTTCGGTCATTTCTCTTGCTTCGCCTCCTCCCTGTTTAACAGGGAACCTTAATCCAGGCCATCGCGACACCACATTTAGGTCACCGATTTGGCCCATACCTGCAACTAGGGTGTGTCTACTTAGTTACTGGATTCCAGCTGGCAAAACCACAGCCACTGTGCCGCCCTTGCTCCCATAGATTTAGTTTGGTCCTTTCTCAGGGAACCATATTTGAGGATGTAACCATGTTGTCACCGGGTTTCTGTGCTGATTCATTTGAGTTTTTACACTTCAGTTCCTTGCACGGCTTACCTCGCTCAACAAACCAGCTCATAGGTTCACCTGGCAATTACTGTAATCTCATCACATATACTTGATTTGGTTTTTTGCACTAATGAATTGACGCTCTTGTAACACCTCTCCAAATGTAGATGTTGTTGGCAGAGTTGTTTCTGTGAGCGGGTTATCCTGTTCGGCAACATCCACTGGTGCTATTATTAGGCGGAAACTGGTCATACAAAACGAAAGGTTTTCAATGCAATGCGATTGTGTACCTTTCCATTTGTATTTGATTAACCGTAATTCCAATCATCTCCGTCTAGCCTGCACTTGACTATTGCAGAAATAAACGTGTTAACATCACCATATGTGGCGATGTTGCTCGATCACTAGATGGAGAAGAACTAGCATACCTTAGCCGCATGGGATCTGTTATACTTGGTGTATGCAGTCTTCAAGTTACTGACGCCACACCAGGTTTACACTGCACCTTTATCTCTCACAGTTAATGCTATTGCTAATCCATTCTACGACGACTCACATCTCCTTTCCTACCTTTACCAAAGGCGGCATTTTTTTAACCAGCACCTCCGCTACACGGTTTGTTTTGGAGCCATCTTCTGCATTGGCAAATGTTTTGCGTGCTACGTAAGTCTCTTACAAGATGCCGCTTTTAGTAGTTGACTTTCCGTTTATCTCATATACTTTCGAAATTGTAGTGCTACTGGTGGTACAGATACGATCCGCTATTATCCTCCATGCTTTTCCACTTATTTTGAAGAGGAAATGTTTCGAGCTGACAGTACCAAGACAATTATGGACCTCATCCGCCTTTCCAGAAATCCAATGGTTGACGTGCGTTCTTTTGTCATAACTTTTACTGTCACAGCACTGTATCTTATTACTTCATGGCAGGTTAAAGCATAATCTGCACTATTAATGTAGCCAGGCATTATTTTCATGCTTCAAAATTTATTCTGCCTCACCACTAGATGGATCTGTTTTTCCAGTCCCTTTTGCCAGTAAACTAACAAATTTCTTGCCTGCTTAGCTACATTTTCTCACCAGTTTTGTTTACCTACAGGCTACCCAGTACTATTGTTTGGCGCAAGTCCTCTCCACTGAGACTTCAAGATCATGGTTCTACTTAGGATGTGCCTTTTGCTTTAAGACAGCTAGGGAATTTCCTGGCACTGGTGATTTTTTTTGTGAAGAACATGGCCAACTAAAGGCTGAAGAAACCGAACATTGGTTAGTTTAAAATCCACCTTTTCCCCATCAGTCAAGTGGGCACGCCCAATTCACCCCTGAAATTTTAATACATTTTTACAGCTACAAAATTCATTTGGCTGTCGGAGACACTACTGGTTCGGCGTGCTTCGTCGCACTTGGAAAGACCGCTGAATCTTTGCTTGGAGTTACAGCAAACGAACTATTGTTGCAGCATCCCCACCGCCATGGCCATTTCCCTCCGCCAATTGTGGCCATGAATGGCTGTTGGTTTTCGTTTTGTGTGCAACTCCCTAAACCTGGAAATCTGGCTCAGACTCCTCTGGAGTTTACTATACTTTCTGCATTCGACCGCAGCCAGCTCTAACAATAAACTAATGAAAACGTCAACGCTTGCGCAGAAAGTCATTGTGCTCGACCGTTGTCTTACCTATATTATGCCAGTATTTAGCAATATTTGCACTTCAACATCAACAGACTTATGTATCCGCGATGTACGTACAAACTATTCACATGCACAATGACTCCGCTCTTTCGCTTACAACTCTCCATTCCCACAATATAGTCTCCCCGCCGCAGAGCGCGGGCTTCTTTACTAGTCATTGTTATAAGGAATGCTGAAGAAACCAAAGCCAAATACAAAAAGCACACTTCACTAGCCCTTTTCACTGCAGCTGGAGAAACAACATAGCTCTCCACAATTTTAGTTGATTTTTCCAACTATATCGCGGCAGTTTTAGAGGCTCTACTTGCTGTACAGACAAAAAACAAAGACCAGACCAAATTCAGCTATTCTCCACAGAAGAGTAAGCATAAGAATCGTCCTCGGATGTCCTCAGTCATTCGATCGAGAATCGAATGGCTGTGAAAAAATAAGTAGCTGTGGTGCATTCGTTTTCCACGTGAATCGCAGTTGGGTCCGATTCTCGATTGGACGACTTAGAATGCGCAAGGACATCCTTACACTAACCGCTATGAGGAAGGATAACCGAAGTGAGTGAAACCAAGATTTGTCCCCCATCCCTAAGGATCATCTAGTTCGACAAGCTGAGCACGCCGTTCAGCAGCCTTCTTCCTTACAAAGATGCCCCATCTCAAAGCTGCTTTCAGCTTCAGCCAGCCGACCACAGCTTTGCCTGAGGAACGAGACTGGTCATCGCCGGTGAAGCCATAATTAGGAGATGGATTCGGGGCGTATGGAGTCGACATCGACGGGTAAGGATGGTGATGGTATCCATCTTCAGCACCACCAAAGGATCCGTTGAAACCATGACCTCCTCCACCCATGTTGAACATTCGAAGGAGGTTCTGCATGTCGTCGTTCTCAAGCATCTCATGGCTTCTCAACCGAATCTCCTCTTCGGTGAAGAAGTCATCGACGGCGACTCCTCTGTGTGAGGTGAGGTTTGCTGACAGTCCGGTGTTATGGAAGTCAGACGTAGAGGTTTGAGGCGGGCCGAGAGCTAGCAAATTGTCACTTCTTGGATACTGCTGTTCATGTGACGTCCCAACCAATAGTTGCTGCTGTAGAGGCTGCTGTTGCGGATTGGGATCAAACAGAAATGGCGTGTTGAGGTTCTCATTGTGTGATTGGTTTGAGAATCTTGATGACATATCGTTACTGTATCCTGACAAAAGAGAAATAAATATAAACGGGTTATTGTCACTCTAAAAAAGCTAATCTGCCACCATACTGAAGGGGATAACTGGAGACAGGATTTTCCACCATGAATATATGCTCTATAGCTCACGAGGTTTATTGACAGTTAAATAAGTACCTGCAATAGTTGGGCCAGTAGCAAGAGGAGGCTGCTCGGGTGGTGGAGCGCCTGGAATCAGTAGGCTTGGTATTCCATGCTGATGGCTATATGATCCCAAAAGATCTTGAGGACTGTTTTCCACTTCGCCTTGAGACGTAATTGTGCTCTCGTTTGAATTAAAATCCATGAAGGATTTTCCATCATACTCAATTACATGTGTCCAATTGTCGTACGCGCTTTTGACTAGGCCATCCACATAGACCTGCAAAATCATATCATCATCAACTCTGAGTTCAGGCTTTGCTTTTTTAGGGATTATATATCCAAGAGAATAAGTGGGCATTAGCAAACAGTTCCGAAGGTTGAGATCTTGGAAGGGATGCACGTGATACCACATAACTCTGACTTGGAAAATGAACAAGCTAAATTACATTTCAAGAACTTTACCTTCTGATTGTCAGAAAGAGAGTCAGCAGCACGGAACTGTCCATCAGCAATCAACCCACTTAACTCATAGATATTGTTGAAAACTACACCAACATTCTGTGCATCTTCAGGATAATAGACATAAACTTTTCCGCCGAGGACACAAGTCTTGGCATGCTCTATCAGAACATCCCACATCTTATTGGACATGCCACTTCCAAGAATCTACAACATCAACTTGATAGGATTATTCCTAATGGTCATACATGCATGAATCAGAATTATAGTTCCAACTAGTAAGCAGTTCCTCACATTGCGCAATTTTTGTGAGTCCCTAACCACCAGACGGAGGAAATCTTCCACTGTGTATATTCCATTTTTGTTCAATCTCTTATGAAATGACCCATCTTTACCAATCTTCTCCAATCGCCAAACTTCATCATTCAGAGCAGGCGGGTAGTGTTTCTTGTATACTGTATAGTTATGCAAAAACTAGATTAGCATCTATCAGAATGAACAACAGCAACAATAATGCATACTAAGGCAAGCACATTTACAAGTAAAAAGTTACGAGCTTACGTTCTCCTCTGTGGTCCTTGACAGTGAATGCATCTGTCTTTGCTTCGCGAATTCGAACGCCTTCACAACATCCTGAAGCAACCTTCAGACCGAGCCTGAATTTTCGGCTCCTAATCCAGCTCGAGTTGTCAGTAAAAGTCAGATCACCAAGAGTTCCTACACCTTCTTTCAGAACCACCTGTAGATCCCCCGTAAGAAGCGGCCTTTTCCCTTCACGTTCTTTAACCACATGAGACTCGAACTCTTCAATAGTCCAAGTGTCGTCATCTTCATTATTGAAATCACCTTCAAGAACAACTACCTCCAATTTAACCGAAGATTCCGGACCTGATGTAACCACATGGCCCGAGTTTGTGTCGATCAACACAACATGGATTGCAGTGGCGTGTTCACCCTCAACTTTCCCACCGGTGAACAGAGGAAGGGACAATCTTGACCTGAAATGCAGCTGCAAGTTTCTGCCATCAGGCCCTTGGATGAATTTAGGAGAAGACCTGCATTGCCCCAAGCCATTCAAAAAACACATCAGAGACACAGGGAAACTCATCACATAAGATTGTAATAGTATCAATCATGCGACTCAAGGAATAAAAGCGCACCGGGTGAAACAAGCAAACAGAACACTTCTAGTCAGTCTAGAAACATGTTAATATCACAGAACTGACTTTCAAATTTTAAGTGGCCAGATTGATCAACTGAACATGCACCATTCACAGCTTAAGAACAGAATACAGCCGGATTCTACAACACTAAGAAACAGAGCTGAGGGCAGAAGCTAGGTACCTTGGAGTAAGTTTGGCAGGACCTAATTTTGCTAATGCACGCTCGACTTCTTCGCTGACCTGTTTGGCACCAAACAGCAGCCAGTTACAACAACCCGACATCTCCATTCGCCTTCGCGACAAGAGAGCTCAAAGAAGACAGCTCAGGCTTCCAAGGATGCTAAATATCTATGAGTGCTACTCCAATGAAAATAAAGAAAAACGTCCACAGCGTTCAAATTTTCTTACCACTCTCCGAAGAATAGGCTCCAATGATGAGCAGAGCTTCTGCAGACTATCCACCTTAAGAGCCTCAACGATCACACTACAAAAACAAGTGCAGAGAAGTTAGTTTTGCTATAATGAAAACACAATCCAAAGCTAAAGATACTCTGAAGCCAACGAACTCCACAACCAGAATTTCCGAAGGCAACGAACATGAAACGGAGAAACGGAGAACTGGAACCTAAATCAAGCAAAACTCACCTGGCTAAAGCGGGTCGTTTCTTATCGGGCTGGCCACCTTCGTCCGCAGAGCTCGGTTCGAGCCCGCGCTTGCCATTCGGCCTGTCCAAATACGACCTGGGTTGCTGCATCCTTTACCCCGTCGCGTGCTTGGCTGCTGAGAAAGTGAATCGGGAAAACATCCAAAAAAAAAAATCCCCCCAATCAGAAAAACCAATTCCAAATTTAACAAACCGATATTATCCTTCTACCAACCACAAATATTCCTTGATTCCAAACTACCGGAAAAATATAGCGAATGAAACCTCCAAAAGCACCAACAAACGCCTTTTTTGTCTCTCCCGAAAGCGTAAAAGTTAGAGCAAAGCGGGAAACGAACCTTTGGAGGTAGAAAATTGAAATTCCACCCTCTCCCAACCTCCTGAGCTTCCTGCTGCTGCAGCTTTTGTTGTTTGGCTACTGAGAAATTTCCGGGAAGCGTCGGCGAATTTTCTCGGCAGCGAGAGAAAAGATAAAGGGGAAAGGTAAAAAAAAAAAGAACGAGAGCGCGGCTCGGGTTCTTGAGTTTTCGTTTTCTGTGACCTTTTGTCCCCTCCTCTCGCTTTGCTGTTGTATTTGGGAGTGCGCAACAGTGAAGTGAGTATTAATTTAATAATTAAAAATGCTTTGTCGGACGGCGGCTGGTGCGATTGACTGATTTGAACCGTCCGATGGAGTCAAAGTAAGTCAAATCGACGGGCTCGAAACTGATAAGGGAAAAGAATCTCTCCGTGAGTCTTCGGCCCGTGGATTCGTCAACTCCGTTTGCGTCCACGACACTAAAGGTGCGTACTTATCTGACTACTTGTAAGAATTTTCCGCCTTCCGTTACTCCTTTTCCGTCTTCAATTTTTGTGTGTAATGACTAATGAAATGTCTTTGATTCGTCTTTTTAAGGAATCCGTGGCAAATTGACAATGAAAGCCTCGTGCTTTGGTGGAAGTTACAATCTGATCCTCGGTACATTTAAGATATCATTTTTTATGACATGTAAATTGGAGTACGTTGGATGTAATCACACTGAAATTAATATGCCATATCACATCAAAGTTTGGAAGATGAATATCATCGAGCTAGAATACTGGCAGTAAATTAGACAAATGGCCTCGAGAAGCTTTTATGTTGCACATTATTAACTCCCACTCATGAACTACTTTAAGTGATTCATTCACTATTGCTTTACTCTTATAATGTTCTCATGTTCTTTCTCAATTCCTGTCTTTTTCACTTAGTTGATCCAATTTTCTTTTATCATGATAGTTGAAAGTAACATATATGATTTATAAGTTGAGATTAGTTTAAATGGATCCTCGTTGATCCAATTTTCTTTTATCATGATAGTTGAAAGTAACATATATGATTTATAAGAAGTTGAGATTAGTTTAAATGGATCATCAACAACGTAGCGATTCAATCATGTGACTTTTTAAAAAATGTACAGTATTGTATTAATGCACTAGATTTCATCAAAATCTCAATATCCTTAAGCGAGAAATGTAGTAAGAATTAGGTAAATGACCAATTGAGACATTCTCGAGTTGGTTAAGGTTGAAAGAAGCTTGATATGTACAATCCATACAATAAAGGTAGTAAGGTACTCAGCCTCAGGCAAGGTTAATGAGCCAATCATATAATTTCTTTCAGAAGCTATATGACTTTGAAGCAACTGTCTATATAAACCCAAAAACGTAACTAATGAACATGATCATAAATTTTAAAAAAATGTAGGCATCAGGTTATGAATTCCTCTAAAACCTAGGAACGAAATTGCAATTTCATACTCTCGTTACTTTTTCTTTACTTCACCGAGCTATAAAGCAAACGGATAAATCAAAAAGGCATAGCCACTGGCTATTTCAAAAGAATGAAAAAGGTTATGGCAAAAGAACAGAGGAGTAGAAAGCTAAAAGCACATAGCACACAGACATCAATATTCCCAAACACAAGTGGATCACAATGGTGGTTACATAATCAACTATCCAGTTACCACTTACCAGATCAGTTCTTCAGTAAACATGTCAAAGCAATACCAGGAAGAAGCCATCTCCGCCTTTTTTATGCTGCGTGTGAGGTAAGACTTATCACTTATGGCTAGGTAATTTTGCTTTCCTTTTATCCCTTTTGCTCTGTGGCTTTGCTCGGGTTTTGCGTTTGGAGGATTTCTTGAATGATGGTTTTTTACTCACAGGTAGCTTCTGGTTCTTCTTCTTAACAACAATTGGTCTGGGAATGGTTGATGGCATTGTCTCCTTTGTTCCAGAGTCGTCATCTTCTCTGGAGATCTCACTGGTCGTCACCGTTACCTTCAAGTCCCCATGGTCATACATCATTGTCCCTTTTGCCAGAAAGGAGAGAAACACAAATTCAGACAGTGGAGTATTAGACTGAATGTGAATATTGGAATTGGACCATAGCTATAATGCAGCTCATTTCGTCAGATGGCTAGAGATTTATAATCATTCGACCTACAAACGTCCCATCGAAATGGTTACATAACTGAAGGTTCTTCTGAGCATGAAACCCCTATGAACCCAATCAAAATGGTCACTTGGCTGAAGATTCATCTGAGCATAAGAACCCTAGGAACCCAACTTATAATGGTTACTCGACAGAAGAATAATCTGAGCATGAAAGCCCAACAACCAAATCGAAATGGTTATTCAATAGAATACTAACCAAAGCATAAAACCCCGAAGAACGCAGATGAAATGATTACTCTGTTATTTTCGTGTACATCTAGGCATAACAAACAGCATGCTTGTTTAGGTTTTCTGTTTGATTAATAACAGCTTCATCATCAATCAAAACTACAAATACCCCAAGAACCAAACAGCTCCCAGCAAGGCAATGGCATCATCAGCACTCTTGAAAAGCATACCTCAAAGAAAATATCCAAATGAACATAAATCTACATACCGCTAACTGAAGCAACAGGCTCACTTTCTTCCCCACCCTCGTCATCCTCCTCAATCTCTTCAGCCGCTGGTGGAGCTCCTTCTTCTATATAAAACACATCTTCCAACCTCCTCTGGATCCAAGAAAATGGATCAGGTATAGAATTACACTTATTTAACTGATACTATCAAGCATTAGAAATTCATTTCAGACAAAAGCTTCACAAGTGCAATTACAAAAATTCAACACAATATCTCAATGTCATACTTAACCATATTACATCCGTTTCAGAAGCTCCTAAAGAGCCAAAAACGTTATAGTTGCAGACTGATGAGAAGTGTATTTCTTAGGAAGCACTAAACAGAAATGAGGCGCAAGCCTAGTCAAAATGCAATTAGCAACTCGATTCTCCATCAAATTACTCCATTTTCGGAATGCGAATTACACTGTCCCATAGCTAGCTCGACGTCACAGCAACAGAATGACGAGCAACTCTATAAACCCTAGAAACAGTGAAACAAATAAAATTTAGACAGTCTTTCGTTACTAAACACATACCTTCTGGCGCAGCTCGATGCGCTTTCGTCGCGCCGCCTCCTCCTGTTGCTTATGACCTTCCTTTCGCCTCTTCTTCTTCCTCTTATGGAACCCAGTGACGTAGTCCCTTGCGAATAGAACCGAGACCAATGAATTTTCAACCATGTTCAAAATTAATGGTCCCCTCTAGTTCAGTGCAAAAGGAGAAAAGGGATTGGATTCAGTTACCTGAGATCCTTCTCGTTGAAAGATATGGCCAGAGCTTTGTTCTTCAGCGCTCGTTTCTTGATGTGCGAGACTCGGGTCGCCGGTGCACCTGGCCCTCCATCTTCGAGTTCGTCCGCCATTGCCGCCCGAGGAAAGGGCAATTTCCGATGACCTCTCAGTCGTCCCCGTTTTGTTTTGGCGGGTTAAGAGCGCGCCTGTTAACATTTGGGCTTTAGGGGAAGAACAAGTGAGATGGACCTTTCGTGGGCTTTACAGTTTGGCCCAGCAAATGGCGACTAGGGACTAAATGACGGCAATTGTTCTATTTTTTTGCCCAATACATCGCAAACAAAAAAGACTCAATCTTATGAATATTGGCAAAGATAAGAAAACAATCACAAAAAAAATTGTAGAGGGTAGGCGTGATAGGGCAATCGCTCGACAAATGGCGACTACGGACTAAATGATGACGTTTTTTTTTTTGTCCAGGATATGCCAAGAAGGCGACGACGATTGATTTATTGCTCAACAGAGAGGACATCTTACTGTCTGAGTGGATTGGATGGGAGTTCGATCAAACTGGCTTACAATGAGGTTCAACGAGAAGCACGGTGATGAGTGCTTCTAGTAGGTCAATCGTTGCAAGAATAGCATTCTGAAATTGTGGATAGTGGAGACAACGAGTGTTTTCCTGATTTGGGGAGGCAAAGCGACCGGTATTGAACTATTAATTATTATTGTTTACAATGCATTTAAAGTAAAAGTAAAAATATATTTGGACTTTAGAAGAATAACTAGCTTATTACCCGGCCCGTTGGCCGGATTACTGTAGGTTACCCCCACTTGTGGAATGGGAGAGAAAGCAAGTGAGAGTGAAGGGATTGGGATTCCACTTGATTAGGACCGACCCACTAATCCAATTCTTCCCGACCCGCCCCAACCTACAGGGTCAGAAAGAGTCAATAAGAAAATACGAACGGGGAGGATTAGCCATATATCTTGACTCTTCAGAAGTGGGTCAAACAGGATCAAGGTTGGGTGAGGGCAATTTTTAGCGCTAAGCAGAGTTCTGGGTTGAATACCTTTACTTAGGCCTAGAAATTGGTGTTGATGCAGACTGCAGTTTTTATTTTACCATCATCAATCATCATTGAATTAGTCCTGGGCATCCCTCCCCGTTGTCGGTCTGAATTCTAATGATGGCTTCATTCCTTGCACCAGCCATATCAGCGAGTTGCCATCTCGAGCATGATTTGCCTATGTACAAATAATACAATTAGAGTATGAAAATGAATTCAATGAAAAGGAAAAGAGAATTCTATCACATGCCAATAAATACACACATAATAGTTGAAGCTAAGTGAAAGTCATTACTCGCACATCAATTCTCAAAAATTACAGACTAAACATTGGCTAGAATGGCACTGAAACTACCAAGAATCATGGACGAAACAACTTGTCAAATTAAATAATCCTTATACTGAAACTACCTTCTAACTTGAAATAAGACATGATCACAGTTCATAGCTCTCTTCTCACTATGAATTGGTTGCAGCTCGTCCTTATCACTGCCTCTCAAGCTCAATTCAAACAGAATAGAGACCGTTATGTAAGATAACCATATTCTTACTGATCATAATTCCTTTCTTCACTCCATTTTTTGTCGGAGAAAAGAGTTATCCCCCTCTCCTGCATTTCCCTTTCCCCCTCTCTTCTCCCTCTTCTTCACAAACCGATCCCTAAACCAGCAACAACAACACAAAAATAGCCTTCGCCTCTCCCGTCTCCATCTATTGAACGCGTTGGTGGCAAGACAGGACTGCAGAAGCAAAATTTTCTCAAATCAAACTAAATTTTTTGAAGCAGACTCAACCACGAAAAAAGAGTAAAGCAACAATGCAGTAGAACCCTAAATTTAACTACAATCAAGCACATATCAGCAAGATTTTCGATTTGTCTGAGAGTTAACTACACGGAGAGAACAATTGATGCATAATTGAAATGCTCCAAGCAAGTTGAAGGCAAACCATAACTTTAGAATTTGGTCATTATAATAACCTTCAAGTATTGATGCTTCTAAAAACTATCATGTCCAACCCCACTTATACAACTACGTAGCCATAGTAATTAGTTGTATAATGAGAAATATTACAAAGAAAACTACATAAACAACCAATGTAAGTAAATATTAAAACTAACAACTGATAAAACTTAAAATCTCTCTATTGGTATGAATGTATCTATTAGTAACTACTATGCAATCGAGTATATATGATTTTTAGGCACTGAATAAGAAAAGTATAGATGGCTCACAAATGAAGACGTAGCAACTGAAGGTAGCACACAAAAACCCAAAATAGAAAAAGAGATAAGAAAAAAGGCGAGAAAAAGTCATAACAAAGAAAAAGCCCACATAGGAATACCTCGCTAGCTTTAGGGGCTCTCTGCCACAACAAACAACCTTCTTAAAAATCTAACACCCTGAGACATCAAACAAACCTCCCACGACACTAATGTATGGCATTCCTATTGTCCAATAGGTTTTCCCAATTTAGACTTCTAAATAAATGGACTTTTCACCATTAAACCAAAACTCACAATCATTAACAGTTAATGCAAAGACATACATTTCTGAGACCAATCACAGCATTTAAGCATAATTTTTAGTTGAAAAGAACAACTAAGTATTTAGCTAAATGATATAGTAGAATGGACACAATCTGCTACCTACTAATGATATAAACGTGCACCGGTACCATCGTTGTATCCTGACTTGCCATTTGCAACGGGCACTTTGAAAGACAGCTGCATTTTAGAGAATAAACACCCATAAGGGCGTTACGAAACCAAGCTTAATCCAAAATCTTCATATTCCACTTCGAAGACTCCATTTTCAAAAATAAGAGAGTTTAACATGTCAAATCACTCATTTGAAAAATCTCAAACAACTATTAATCAATGCAATATAAAGGCACGTTCCAAATTATGTACTTGTAGGAATAATCCCAAATAATTATCAATTAATGTCCCAACTACCTAATGTGCAGAATAGCCCTGGAGCTGTGCTGTTGTTTGCGTTGGTCTACCTTCAAACATAACATAGTTGCATCACGAACCAAAGCAATTAAGCAAAAATCTTCATATTCCAAGTAGAATGACTCAATTCAATTTGGCCAACGCTTTATACATATTGTTTACCCCTGGACCTGTTGCACTTGCGCCTTCAGATCTTTGTGAACACAATACAATTGCGGAGAGGAGGCTGTCAACGGAATAAAAATTGTTAATTAAGTGAATCACCATACAACTAAACAAACGCGCTCTTCTTGATTAGCTATCAAAATAGTGGGGGTCGCTACAATCCATCGGTTGCTCCCTCTGCGCCTAAGTTGTAGATATTAGGTTTCAGTGAGAACTTTGAGTACATGAGGAGATATTTTGTAGTGGAGGAGATGACCCGGCGAGTAGAATAGGAAGATTTGGAGAGGCTGCGATGGGCAAAGCAGTTAAAATCGAGATTTTACCTAAAATCGAAAACTGGGGTAAAATCAAAATCGTATAATCGAATCATAAAATCGTAGGATTTTAAGTACCATATAGAACATAGCATATAAGAATATTAATAAGGTAAATTATTAATATCACAAAGACGCATAGCATTTAAAATGATAATTCAGAAGATTTTTTTTCCATAAGATAATTCTCAAGATTAATGTTCCAAAATCACTATATTAATTGTTATTTAATGTGTAACTCAAAATAATTCATGATGAAGGGATATAGTTCATGGGTTTGGCTCTTATTTTCATGTTATGTCTAGGTTGTTTAACTCAAAGTAATATTTCGACATCGTCTACTAAGTATGATTTAAAACTAAAAATAATTGAACTCCAATAAAATAAGTAATGTTAGTGGCTTGGTACAAATATATTCATTAATAAATTAATTAGTTAATAATGATGTTAGTTCTTACATACATCCAATATTAGGACAGGTGTTTTACCAATAAGTTAAATGGGGTGAAGGGAAAGAGATTAACCGAACCCTAATTTGGTTATTTTTATTATTTTTGAATATTTTTCTAATAGAAAAATATCTGAGAAGATTCCATTGCCCTTTCCGCTGAAACAGTTATACTTATTTTAAATTGGCTCAAACCACCTATTTTGTTCTCTTACGATCAAAATCCCGATTTCGGTACTATTTTACGATTTTAACGATTTTAGTCCCGATTTTAAACGATTTTAAGGTCCACCGATTTTATAGTAAAATCAAGATCGGAATCCCTAAGTAAAATCCTAAAATCCTACGATTTTACGATCAAAATCCCGAATTTGACTGCATTGGCGATGGGTGCACGATTAGTGGGCCAAATAACAGTTTGGGCCCGTTTAAATGAAAACATATTTTTACTTTCGTGCTCAACAGACCGACCGCACTGACATCTTCTAAATTTACCCCTAAAAAATTGCTATGTACGCATCAAATTTGAAATGGAATCCCTCTTTTCTCATTTCACATTTCACATTTATATGATGTGTAGATTGTGATGAGTGTAGATGTAGACCTGTCATTGTCCTACAAATTCATTAACACGCCAAAAAGTGGTGAAATGAGCCACCCTATTAAACACAATCTTGTATAATGATCATTGGATCCAATCATGCCAGATTATGAAGAAGTTTAAAATGTAGCGGTTATCCCGACTAAAACATTAAAAGAACCAGTCTCATATAGTTTGCACAAAGATATAATTTCTCCATAGTAATTCTGAAAAATAATATTAATTTAAGAAGTCGATATTGCTTCTACATGTTTAATATTGCAATTCGATATGCAATATTCGAACCAGTGATATTTGGGCTGCAATTTTAGGGTTATTGTATATTTATAAAATAGATAGAAATTTAAATTAAGTATTAAACTACAAATAAAATAATCAAAGTATTAAAACACCAAATAAGTACTTACGGGAGATTCAGTGGCAAACTAATCGTTAAAAAAGTCATATGATTTTCATAATTTAGGTTCGTGTATGTTTGAATTTAAATAGATACAACAAATATACTTAGTGTGATTGGTTATGATCCTTGCTTGCCTTTAAAGAGACCAAGGTTCAAATCCTAGTGCATGCTTTTTTTATGAATAAATAAATAAGAAAATAAGCAATTGTGAAGACCAAAATGTCCTTCCTATAATCACTCTCGTTGCAGGAAATTTGAAATGGAGCAACGGTTTTCATCATTCGGCTTTTATTTATTATCTAGACTAGATTCGGCCGCCCTTTTTATGGGCCTTTAGACTCCGGCCCGTTCAGTGGCAGTATTTTCACAGCAGGCCAGTCTAATGAAGTCTGTGGAAGAGGGCAAGTCCAAGCCATTGTCTGCCGTTGATGTATTTATTTATTTATTTTATTTTCACAGTCAAAATTGACGTAAGTGGAGGGAAGAAGTGTAAATGCAACATTAGATTATTACCTAATTCGAATATTCGATCCTTAAAACTACTATAACTCAAATTAGGCGTCAATCCAACCATAAAACGACAGATGGGGTGCCTTACAATATATAAAGCATAAGACTATATATTGTTGAAAGGGACACCATTCCTAACTGAAAAGTGAAATACTCAAAATATGAAAAATGTTCAATTTTATACAATTATGTAGCCATTTATTGTTTCCAGTTATCTCATAATTTTTCTATATCTGCAAAAGAAATTCGCCACTCTCGTTGTTTGTTCTTCAATAAATAAGTTTGTATTTCATATGAAACAAAGTAATAGTAAAAGAATATTTCAGTTTTGGAAATGAGGTTATTCTGGAAATAAATGTAACGATATTAGTATATTACTAGGAGAAGTGACGTTCTTCTAATTGAATTTGTTGCTGGGATCATTGAATCCGCTACAAACTAAATGATGATACATCTGTTAGAAGTTGAACTACTATGAAGAATCCGAAATATATTCAAACACCAACGATACATATTACTAGGAGAAAAATGTTTCAAAATGTTGTTCATCTAGATGTGATTTTCTTTCTCACAAGTATACGAAAGATTTTTCTCCATGTATCTGGCTTTTATTAATTCAAGTTAATTGAAATGCCCACAATTGGAGTGTTTTAAACGTATGCAAGGAAGATTCGGTACTCCGGGGATATCGACAACGCTCCCCTCACGGCATCCCGCGCGTGGGAAAGCTCTACATTCAAAGGGGTAAATGAGCTTTGAATGCTTGATACAGCAAAATTTAGCAAAGCGACAAGAATTCAGCCAGTCTACAAAAGTCCATCAACCCAGCTCCCATCGTTGCTTGCAATTCCAAGGCATCGCCGCCCTTCCAGAACTCAGAATTCCGTTCCATATTCTCCTCACGCCACACCAATTCAATTCCAGCTATAAAGAAAATCCCCCTCCCAGTTCCGGCATTCCCAATTCCCACCGCCGCCATGAACGAAAAGGGATCCTCGCCGCAAGCCGTGTTCTCCGGCCTGGTCAAAATCAACGGCGCGGCCACCACCCAGCTGACGCTCACCTCCGAAGGGAAGCTACGGTGGACGGACGGCGAGGAGCCGCGGTGCTTGGTGCTGGAGAAGCAGGTGCTCGGGTTCGTCGTGGAAGGGTCGAAGGTGGTGGTCAGGGCGGTCGTCCGCAGCGAAGGAGGGTGCTGCAGCTGTATCGGGAGCAGGGGAGCGGGTCTGGTTAGGAAGGATTTCGCGTTCGAGCCCGTCCATGGCGATTCGCTTAAGCTCTGGTCCATGCATCTCCGCGATCACCTCGATTCCCTTGGTAAGCAACTCCTTTCGTTGAATGCAACAGTAGTTCGTCTCTGAATACAAGGAGCTGAAAATTCTGTATATGGAGTTGATAAGAACGCTCTAGTTTAAGTAATTTGAATTAAGGAAAATGGAGGAAGAAGTGGCTGCTGTGCATGGAGTTAATACGAACTCTAATTATGATTAAGTTAATTGCCCTGGTATTCAATTTGTTCAGTAAAGAAGGAGTAGTTTGAGTAATTTGAAGTAATGAAATGAGGAAACGAAGTTGTGCTGAATGTAGCTGTGAATACTGAATAATACTACTTATAGCTCCTTTGTTGTTGGTGGTGCTGAGATTTGATTAGCCACTCCTTGATTACTCAGTTTACTAAGAAACTGATCCGTTCAATGTGCCAGTTGTTTGTTTGTTCAAATCTAGAAAGTGACTATTAGTCTACTTCAGTAATTTGATTGGGTGAATTCTCATGGCAGGGCGGCCGAAGAGGCTGCTTGTGTTTGTGAACCCGTATGGCGGGAAGAGGATTGCTCCCAAGGTGTATTTGGATCATGTGAAGCCATTACTTGAGGATGCTGGTGTCCAGATTACATTGCAAGGTTTCGAAACTTCTTGTCGTTTCAGCGTTCGTTCTTTGTTCTGATGGATGTTGTTTTTTTGGTTCTGTGGTCTTTCTTATTTTGTTTTTTTGGTTATCAGAAACTATGCATAGGCTTCACGCTAAGGAAGTTGTAAGCAGCATGGAACTTTCCAAATATGATGGCATTGTTTGTGTCAGCGGAGATGGTATCCTTGTTGAGGTTAGTTGGCTTATGATTTTGGCAGCTGATGGGATTCTTTTTAGGGTAAAAAAGTCAAGAACTTTTGTCGTAGACTTGTAGTTTCTCTAGCTGTTCTTGTTAAAGTCTTTAACTTGGATATCATATACTAGCATAATTTGTGAGCCTTGTACATTGCATTATCAGCTATTTTTCTTACAATCTGGAAAGACAGTCCTAAGGATTAGCATCTCTGAAGCAATTCTCGGCCTTGACGTTGTTTGATCCTGAATTAGTTTCCAAATGCAGTGCTTATTTCAATGGGCTGGTTTTTATTTTAGTTCTGCATTAATACAGGAGGTTATTTTTTATCTTTCTTCTTACACATCAAGGGGCTATTATTAGTGTCTGTATTAGCCTTTTCCATTTTTGTTGTAGCTGCTTAATGTCGATTTTCTCCTTACCAATGCTGAAATGTTTAGTAGGTGGTGAATGGTCTTCTGGAGAGGCAGGACTGGCGGGATGCGATAAAGATGCCTCTTGGAATAGTTCCTGCAGGTTCCTTTTCTGTCCTACATATTTTTGTTGAATCTCTTGCATCTGTTAATGAGCCATTGGTGTGCTCACAGAGTCACAGTACTTCTACATTATTATGTGGGTTTGTGCAATTACCCAAACAGACTCAGCCAGACAATTATAATGGTTGTTGAACTTAAACTAGCTGTTCTCTACTGTTGGTATCAATAGCTGCCTCCCAATTATAAGAGTTGGAAGATGTTTTTCCTCCTTTGGTAGAAGGTTCTTTGATAAATAGATGGGCAACCCATCGATCATAGAATGACTACTGTATCATTTCGACTATTTTTATTTTATAATTGACGAATTTTTTATCTTGATCCAGGTACAAGTAATGGCATGGTAAAATCTCTTCTGGATGCAGCTGGTGAACTGTGCAGCCCAGAAAATGCTGTTCTTGCAATAATAAGAGGTTAATGAGGATAACTTTTGCATTTCTTACATAACCATATTAACTTGCCTAATATAGTTTGTCGTAAGACCATAGATTTGAAAGTTCTTCCCCATTTGATCCATTTCTTTCTTGTAGGTCATAGGTGCTCACTTGATGTAGCCACTGTCTTGCAAGGAGAGACCAAATACTACAGTGTTTTGATGCTGGCATGGGGTATGCTTACTGATCCTGCATGACGACAAATTCATTAATCTTTTGATGATTGCTGAGAGCAAGCTGTACATTTGTTTCATTCAGACCTTGTCCTCTTATGTTTCAGGTCTAGTGGCAGATGTCGACATTGAGTCTGAGAAATATAGATGGATGGGGAGTTCTCGCATTGACTTCTATGTACGGATCTCTTATTTCTTGTTCTCTTTATACTTTGTTCCTCAATCTATCAAGTTTCTTCTGGGGAGTTCCAATCTAATGGTAATAATGCTCTTTTGAATTGTTTCTAATTCATTGGTTTTATATTTCTTCTTTTTTGAAGGCTCTTCAACGGTTGTTCGGTTTAAGACAATATGATGGGCAAATCTCTTTCGTGCCTGCACCAGGGTTTGAAGCATATGGGGAGCCAATCAATCACAAAGGTGGACTTACAAGTGCTCGAGAGTCTTGCGATGTCAGCAAGGAACATCTCGTGAAAAGCCATCCCTATGGTTACTATGGACCTGATGTTGAATTGATGAACCAGGAATGGCGGACAATTAGTGGACCATTTGTTTCAGTCTGGCTTCATAATGTAGCTTGGGGCGGTGAAAATACCATGGCTGCTCCTGATGCAAAGGTTGGTCTTACTTCCCCAACTCTCTAGTATTTTGCTGTCAATCGTAGCTCAGTGTTGGAGCATTTTGACTCCACCCGACACATCCACCCGACTCTATCCTTTCCTATTCGAGAAAGGGCTGGAGCTTGCATTTGTATGTTCACTTGCAAGTTGGGATTCAGGTTGGGCTGAGTAGGGAAGTGTTGGGTATCAACTGTCCGGTGGTGCGTGTCGAGTGCTTGTTGGACTAGTTTGATGAGATGGCGAGGCCATTTGGCACACATTCGACAGAGTGACTGTTTTATTGCAATTCGCTTGGTCCAGCTAGCGCTTTGTTGAGACAATTAGTCCAATGATCTCTTTGTGTCAAACTCTATTTAGTCCTATTTGAACTCGTGTTTCTGAATCTGCTGCTGATTCGTAATTCCTTATATCTGCACAAATAACAAAAAAAACTCTGTTAACCCCTTTCCTTGTTTTGCAGTTCTCAGATGGGTGTCTGGACTTGGTGCTCATCAAGGAATGCCCAAGGCTAGCCTTGCTCTCATTCATGACAGAGCTAAGCAACGGCGGTCATGTGAAATCACCACACGTCATGTACCTCAAGGTCGGTTCATATTCTCCCATTATCCTATTTCCATTTCTGTAGACCACAAACTCGATTCATACGAATTCCAATACTAAACGAGGAGCGAAAGTCCTGTTCCAAATGACACTTCTCTTCTCTTAAAAAACAACAGGTGAAAGCGTTCATATTGGAACCCGGCCAACGTGTGAAGGAACCGAATGTCGGAGGGATCATAGATGTGGACGGCGAGGTGTTGGCCAGAGGAAATGGAACATACAAGTGCGAGGAGGAGACTCTTATGGCTTACGACGAGCTTCTGATAACTGTGAACCAAGGTTTAGCCACCGTCTTCTCTCCGATGTAGCTAGCTAGCTTCATTTTCTCCATTCATCATCAAACCAGACCATCGTTTACCCCCCAAAACGGCTAAGCTGAAAGAAAGATAGGCCGATGGAAAGGCGGTGTACAGTCAGTCCATTTCAAAGGTTTCTCTGCAGAATGTTACTGACATTCACTCAGGTTTGAGTTCATGTATGTATACTAGAATTAGCTATACAAAGAGTTTGCGTCGGAAAGATTCGTCTATACTACAGAATCTCTGTTTATTGTATGCAGAATGTAATCTTTGATGTTTGCTAATTTTCCTTAGTTTGAATCTTGATCGATTGAGATTGTAATTCCAAATGAACAGAAACAATAGAGGTGAAATAAAATAAAAACATTTATAATTATAGGGTAAATACAATTTAATATCCAAACCTTTCATTTTAAACAATATAATAGCCAAACCTTTTCGAAAACAATCTAATATCCAAATCGTCAACTTTTCGTTCATTTGACCGTTAGTTGATACTTCAAAAAAGTTTTTTTTAGGGGAAATTGTCACAATACAACTTTGTTTCTTGTTTTGGCATTGCATATGACTGAATATTTAGATATTCTATACCATCATGGTGGAGTCATAGACTTCTCGGGTTTGAACTACGATATGTTGGTGGTTTTTCAGAGAAGATATCGATGGATATTGATGAAGTGTCGTACTTCAATTTTTTTTGAAGTGTCAACTAACGGTCAAACAAACAAAAAATTGATGATTTGGATATTAGATTGTTTTCGAAAAGATTTGACTATTATATTGTTTAAAATAAAAAGTTTGGATATTAAATTGTATATACCCTAAGAAAAGACTGGAAGCAGTTGAGCCGTTTAATGCATATGAACGCACGAAACGCCTGCGGATTGTGAATTGTGATAGATAAGGAAATTTGCGTTACGTGACATTGCATGACTTTGAAGAGCGGGGCCATGCGGTAAACCCGAAACTGCCCTTCATTTTCCAAAACCAGCCGCCAAAGGAACAACGCCGGTCGGCGGTAGCCCTATGGCATTTTCGTCAAACGGCGTGAGGTCCACCGCCGGTCCACGCTAAGGACGACGGCCACGTGAAAATGACCGTCTTCTCCCTCTATTATTGCTCGTCTCCAGGGAGGACACGCACGAGGCACGATAAACCCCCGACTTCTTGAGCAATTTAAGTACTCGAATTAATTATAAAATGCCAATCTGTCTATCATCTCAAGAGTTTCAGACTCGAATAAATATGAAATGAACGTTGGTTCGAGTATAAAATGAAGATACTTAACTCTTCTTCCTTTCACAAATCAGTAAAAAATTAGCTGGAAAAATGTTACCCGGTTGGCTAGGTGAAGGTTTGATAGTTGTCTTTGGTTAGAGAGGTAAGTCGAAAGTAACTAGAAATTAATAAATTAAGAGTATTTACTGCAATTTGTTTACGTAAACAGTTAAAATAGTTTAAAAAAAAACAAATACTTCTTACAAGGTGTGTAATTCAGTGATTAGGGCGATGCAATTATATCATAATGCAAGATTTGATTATTATGCATAGCTTATATTTACATATAATTCTTAGAGGCACTTTCAAATCAAATATGGGTGTTGAAACCCACTCTCTTGTAAGCTCCCTCCCCCCATGATTGATAACCCTCCACTATAAGAAGAGTTCACATGTAACTATTTCACAAATAACCACTTAACTCTGTAATAAAATAAACGCTAAGCAACGAGAACGTACAAATTACTCATTCGATCAAAAGAAGAATACACATATAACTATTTCACAAATAACCACTTAACTCTCCAATAAAACAAATGCTAAGAAACTAGAACATACAAATTACTCATTCGATCAAAAGATCTCCGCTTAATCTAACTATAGTTCAACCGTTTTGTACAATTAAATACTGTCTAGCGATTTAGCCTCCAATAATTTTTTTTGGTCAAACTGTGGTAAATTTATCAATCCTCTATTTTCACCCTTTTACCCCAAATTTCTCCTTTTAGACTGTTTGACTGTATCCTTTCGCCACGTAGATTAAAGAAAGAAAAATTCGGCTACTCGAACCCTTCTGGATTATGAAGTACACACAGATATCAGGCCGCGAGCGAGACGTCTTTCTTTCTGTTTGCTCCCAATTTTTGTTGTCTCCATTTTTATATTACTTTTATTATTTATATCTCTACCTCTCTCTTTACTCTCTCGGTTTTCTCCACAGCGGAAAGATTTGAAACCTCAACAAGGAGGTGTTTGGCAATATCTTCAAACGCAAACGTGATCTCCTCAACAAGTTGAAGTCGCTTGAGATGATGAACACTAGGAATCCAACTAGCAGTTCCATTGACAGAGAGCAAAAGACCAGAGAAGAACTTGAGAACACCCTTTGGGAGGAGGAGATGCTCTGGATGCAAAAGTCAAGAACCAACTTAGTGATCCATGGAGACCAGAACTCACGTTTTTTCCACACATGCACCCTCTCCCGCAGGAAACACAACAGGATCCTTAGGCTCAAGGACTCTGAAGGGAGATGGATTGAGGACCCTGATGCGATCAAGGACATGGCACGAGGTCACTTCATGGCACTGTTTACCAGTGAGGCAGGCAACCATACCTCAAGTGTGGCTGCTGACTTCCCTGAGCTTGATCAGGCTTGGACCGCAAGAATGGGAGAAGCTCCAAATGCTATTGAAGTCAGAAGCATCATCATGGCAATGGAGGGACTTAAAGCACCGGGAAAAGACGGTTTCCATGCTGTGTTTTTTCAAAAGTGCTGGGCTACTGTGGCAATGACTTCACTGAATTTGTTGTTTCTTGTTTCAGGAATCCTCGGAGAATTGAGAGAGTGAATGAAACCCTTCTTGCCCTTATCCCTAAGACGGAGGCACCATCGACCATGAACCACTTCCGTCCCATCAGTCTGTGTAACATTGGGTACAAGGTGGTGGCAAAATGCCTGGCCAATAACTTGAAAAGGCTCATGCCCCATCTCATCCATCCAAACAAGTCTAGTTTCGTTCCTAATCGTCACATTTCTAACAACATCATCATCCTGCAGGAATCTGTCCATTCCATGGCAAAGAAAAAAGGAAAGAAAGGGTTCATGCTCCTCAAGATTGACCTTGCAAAGGCGTACGACAGAATTGAATGGTGCTTCCTTGAGGATACACTCAAAGCAGCACACCTCCCAGAGAAGTTCATTGAGCTCGTCATGGCGTGTGTGTCCTCAACAACATTTCAAGTTCTGTGGAACGGAGGGGAGACTCAAGCCTTCAAACCATCGCGTGGTTTAAGACAGGGATGTCCCCTTTCCCCTTACCTTTTCACTTTGTGCGTAGAAAGGTTAAGTCACAGTATTAATAGGGAAGTTAAGGAAGGGAATTGGAAACCTCTTAGACTATCACATAAAGGACCTGACCTCTCCCACCTTTTCTTCGCGGATGACCTGGTCCTTTTTGCTGAAGCTAATACTGCTCATGCTAAGATTGTCTTAAAGTGCCTTAGTGAGTTCTGCTCTGCCTCGGGTGAATTGGTTAGCAAGGATAAGTCCAGAGTTTTTTTCTCCAAAAACGTGAACTGTAGCTCTAGGACCTCGATTTGTGACATGCTTGGTATTCAGTCTACCTCTGACCTAGGGAAGTACCTAGGGGTCCCTGTACTTCATGGAAGACTCACAAAGTCTACCTTCAAGTACATTCTGGATAAAATGGACCAAAAATTAACAAACTGGAAAGCTAGAACTTTGTCTCTTGCTGGTAGAGTAACACTTGCTCTTGCTGTCCTGAATGCTATTCCCTTTTATGCCATGCAAACCTCCCTTTTTGCCAATGTCTGTTTGTGATGCTATTGACAAAAGAATCCGAGGCTTTGTTTGGGGATCTCAAGAAGGTAAGAGGAAAACTCACCTGTTGGATTGGGACACCATTTGCAAACCCAAAAATCAGGGTGGACTTGGATTGCGTTCTGCTAGAAGCCTTAATTTGGCATACATGATCAAACTGAATTGGCAGATGCTAAACAACGAGAATGAGCTTTGGGTACAAGTTTTGCAGGGGAAGTATTTTAAACACAAGGATGGTGACATCACTACTATGAAGAAAAGTAATTACTCCAATCTCTGGAAGGGGATGGTTAAGGCTATGCCCTTGATGAAGTATGGTTCTTGCTGGAGCATTCGTAACGGCAACTCAACCGGGTTCTGGATGCATCCATGGGTGGAGAACGATTTGATTCTTGCTGACTTTGTGACCACTGACCTTTCAGCAGAGGAGAGGAGTTCACCTGTCTCGGCGTGGGTCAATGATGCAGGTGAGTGGAACTGGAATCGTTTGAAGAGCCTGCTGCCTGAGCATTGTCTTTCTCTTATTGCAGGGGTGGAGACTCCTAAACCCGAGCTTGGAGAAGACAGAATGATCTGGGGACTGGAGAGGGATGGTCGATTTCGGCTCAGCTCAGCATACTACCTCGCAGCTGATGTGGACAGTGAAGTTTCAAGCCCTACCTGGAAGCAACTCTCGAAATGGAGGGGCCCCAGCAGGATCAAACACTTCCTGTGGCTGGTCATCCATGAGAGGATCCTCACCAACAAAGAAAGAGCTAGGAGAAAGATCACAACAAGCTGCTGGTGCACCCATTGCAAAGACAAAGAAGAAACAGTGGAACATGTTCTCCGAGGCTGTGTGAAGGCTAAGGAGATGTGGACGAAGCTAAAAGAGAAACAAACCAACAGGAGTCATACCATGACTTTCCAAGAATGGATGATGGCAAACCTGATGAATGAGGACAAGGGTGTGGAATTTGGGATCGTTTGCTGGCACCTCTGGAAGCAACGATGCGAGGAAACTATGGAAGGAAAAGCCTTCAACGCCCAAGGCCTCCTGTGCAGAATTAAGGCATGGTTCAACATCTATGAACATGCCCAACAGAGTGTTAGAAACATCACCAAAGCTCAAGATGTACATAAACATCAAGAGCAAATTTCTTGGAGACCTCCCCCTGAAGGCTGGATACAAGTACAATCCGACGGATCTGTGCTCACTCCAACAGGAAAAGCGGCAGCAGGAGGACTAATCCGGGATCACCAAGGGAAGTGTCACGCTGCGTTTGTCTGCAACTTTGGTGTATGCTCCATCACCAGTGCTGAACTGAAAGGAGCTGCCGAGGGACTCAGATTGGCGTATAACAAGGGATACAAGAAAGTCCAGCTGAATCTGGACTCCTCCACAGCGGTTGCCATTATCAAAAACCACAAAGACGAGAACCACCGCCACGGCATCTTTGCAAACCAGTTTAACTTTCTTCTGAACCTGGACTGGGATGTTAAAGTCGAGCATGTCTATAGGGAAGCAAATTTTGCGGCTGACTTTTTAGCCAATAGGGGTCATCTTTATGATTTTGGCACACATTCCTTCGATGTGTGCGACCCGGGACTCAATTATTGGATGTACCATGATATTGTGGGAGTTACCCACGATCGTTTTATTCCATCAATGAATTAGACGCCTTGGCGTCGATCTTTCTAAAAAAAAAAAAAAAAGATTTGAAACCTCGGGGACTTTCTCTCTTCTATGCGATAGTTTGGTTCTCTGCGTAACTCTCCGCCGAGCCTCGGATTACAGAGAGAGAGAGGCGAGAGAGCTCCTCTGACGCAAAATCACTATCATGACTGCTCCCTCTCCGGCTCCTGCTCTCCCGCCGCCACAGCCGCCCGGTCTCCCTGTTGCCGTTCCTCCCTCCGCGGCCTCTGCGGCTCTCAACAAATGCTTCAATTCCGACTGTACGGAGAGCAAGTCCAAGAAAGGCTGGCGGCTGCGCTCGGGGGAGCTAGCCGAGCTATGCGATCGATGCGGGTGAGTATAACTACACAGCGTCTCTTTAACCTCCTGCCTTCTTTTCAGTTCGAACTTAGCGGCTGGCTGTTTGGCTTTGGACTCTCTCTCTGGTTTCGTATGCGAATTTCATGTAGTCGGAGAACTCCAGCTGGAGTTTGGTGATTTCACGGCTCACATTCGTTTTCGTGATGTGGCAATGGTTGTATTTTTGGTGTTCTCTCTGCGTAGTCAGTTCATTTTGCTTGTTTGTTTGGTTCTGGTTGCCGGAGCTCGGAAAATTGAGCTTGGTTTGGGGAAATTTGTTTCTGGCTTCGTCTTGGTACGGTGGAATGCATGCTGAGTTTTTTTATTTCTCGATTGGTCGGTCTAATACGAGATGGAAGAGAAAAACGGCTGTGCTAGCATTGTTCCTCTGAAATCTCTTTGATGAATTCCACGGTCTAAATTTGTGATTTGTTTGACGTGTATGCTTTAGTATGTGGCCATTAGATAAGTTCTTGCAACTTCCATTCCGGACTTTGACTTGGAGGTTGACGTTTGTTGAGTACTGAGACTGATTAGATATGCTGGGTAGGGAATGGAAACTCTGGCTATTGCAACTGCACCCAGCTCGTTTAGAGTTTTCAAGTTCTGATAATTTCATCCAAAACTTGGACATGGTGAATTGGAGTGTTTTAGAATTAACGGTAGGGATGTATTTGGAAATATGTCCATCATTGAGTTGGTGGGACTTTCTTACTCTTTGGCCATATAGCTGAGTGTTAATTGTGAGCTTTGATATTCATTCGGTTGTCGAGTTTTTTTGGGGCTGTTATGCAGGACTGAGGCCTTAACTTTTCATGAATTAACTTCAATGTTAACTTTGTTGGCGGTGACATAGGATGGCTTATGAGGAAGGAAAATTTTGTGAGATTTTTCATCCACGTGCTAGTGGCTGGAGGCATTGTGAGTCCTGTGCGAAGGTAAGTTGAGTGTAGCTTGATTGATTGCATTGATCTTTTCTACTAGGCTGTTCTGCTCTTACTGTAAATTGTCTCGGTTGTTAATTTCTCTATTGCAGCGTGTGCATTGTGGATGTATTGTCTCTGTTAGTGCATTCACCGCTCTTAAGCCCCAAGCCTTTCACCAACTTCTGCATCCTTGGGCCGCAGGGCTTGTAGTGTACTTCTGCTGCTGATCTCTTGCCCTTCCTCCTATGATTGTGTGCTGCTTAATAGGCGTGTACATATAAATGATTGATTAAGTGAGGAAGTAGGTTAGTAAGCAGAAGAGACACAATGTCATAGAACCAAGGCTAGGAAGAAAGTTAAATTCGAAGTAATTACCAATCATTGAGGGAAGTGTTGTCGTACTGCAGTTCTGAACCCAACAATCGTAGCTTCCATCGTACAAACCTCGCAACTGCTCGTACCTCGGAATTGGAGTAGGCCAGCAAGAGACTCTTGGCTGCAGCGCTCTCCAACAGGGGTCATATATATGAAGATATCCTGCAGCAATGAACTCCGGCTCTCCCATCCCCGTCCTCACATTGCAGGAGAAGATGCATGCTGCAGAAGATTCTTTGTATCGAAAGAAGACAATTTCCGGCTTCTCCGGATGCAGATCAAGCACATAGCAATGCTCAAGTTTATAATCACCCCATAATGATGATGATGTCGTCTTCAACACCATTTCATATTGTTGGGTCCAATGCACACCGTCTTCTTCGAGTCTCCAAACACTCAGGGATTTCCTTGAAGATTCAACTTGGAATACAATTATGTGAAAGGCACCCTGTGAGACAGAAAAATTTTTTTTTGCCAAGGGTAAACCAGTCCACAATGCATAAGGTACATGCACCGATTCGGGGGGTATATAAGGGCGGAAAGGATCATATGCAGCAAGACTAAGCTTCATGTAGTTAGAGAGGTCAATCTGTTCCCAAACCAACTTCCCGTTCCACGTGAGTGCATTGGACATAGGCGATTTCACGTAGTTCTCAATCAACACCTGTGTCCATTTCCCAGACTCGGAACAAAACAGCTGTAGTATTTGATTACCCCCATTCTGGAAAAGACACACCACGCGGAAACGATACTCAGAATAAAGAAAGGGTGGTTCTGGTTCTGGTTCTGGTTCATCTCCTAGCTGCTGCACAAGGTTATAATTACTACTACTACTACTACCAGTACGGGGTTGACAAACTAACCCTACCCCCGATCCAGCAGAAGGCACTGGTTTTTCAGGGGCCAAAGGAAGAGCGACCCATTGCTTGGTAAACGGATTGCAGACAAAGTAGGATCTGCCCAATTCGCAAGTAAATTTAACAAAACCGCACAAAAGCAAGTCCTTGAAGCAATCGAAGACTCTCAATCCCGGTCGAGCTTCATCAGGCACGGGGAGAAAGCTGAGGACGCACTGGGGGTCGTGTGCGGGAATGAACAGAGATGCTGGTTGGTACCTGGTCTGGTGATGAGAAATAAAACGGTGATTGAAGCTGGGGTCGGCGACGAGGGATCTCCACCTCTTGCAGACGGCTTTGCAGCGGCAGGGGGATCTAGGGTTGGGGAGGCGAATCAGAATCTCGATGACGAGATCGTCTACCAGTTTGCTGAACAGATGCGGGGGAGGAGGAGGGTTTCCCTGTGGACAGATCCGGCGCCTTTTTCTGGAGGCGGAAGGGGGAAAGAGCGAGCTTAGCGGCACATCCCAATCTGAACAGCCATTCTCGGTCATGGTCACGGCAGTTGATTGAAACAAGATGGGAGGCGGGGGAAGATGCAGAAGGATGCGTGGATTTGGGAATGGGAGATGCCTGCACACGGAGGGGAGGATTGGCGAGAAGGAAGGAAGGGACTAGAAGTCCAGAAGACGAAACGGTTGGTGTTATCAACTTATCATCCACAGTCCTTTGGGCCTTGGGTCGACATTTTGTTTAGGCCCATAGGATGAAAGTGGCGCCTTCCATGACTACATGTAAAAATAAGCCGTAGACTGACCAAAAAAACATTAGGGGGTCTTTTGGATTAGTGAATGTGATGAGCGATTTATGAGTGATTTTAAAACAATCTTTTATTGTGCAGGATTTTAAAATAATTCTGCGTTTGGAAAGGTGAGAGATAGTGGGCATGAGGAAATTCTAAATCTCTCATATGAGAGTTTTTAAAATAGCTGATGGGGATCAGCTATTTCACAATCACTCATTTTTTTTCATTCTTTTCCAAACTCTGCCCCTCCTTTTGTTCTTCCTTTCTTATTCTTCCTTAATCCCTCTCGTCGCCATGGACACCCTCTCTCCGTTAAAAAGCATGTTATTGCCGTCGAAATTTGTTGCCGCCGTCGAAGCTTGTCGTCGTCGTTGGATTCAAGGTTTGTTGGGTTTTGGGTAGGTCAATCTCCATCGTCGGATTCTGGGTTCTGGGTTAATTTTCGTCATCGGATTTTGTGTTCCTCGCGAGGTCGCCAAGAGGTGTGAAGGGCAAGGTCGCTTAGAGAGCCCGCCAACATCGCCTATCTTTCTCTGATGGGTTTTGATCGGATCCATACCAAAGAAAATCAATCGCCATATTTTGATTCGGCAACACCATGTCTCTGGTTTGGGAGGAGCTAGCACCGCCGCCGATGCGGAGGAACCCCAATCCGATCGACCCCAAATCAAAACATGGGGTTTTCGTCGATGTAGTTCGTGTATATGACGAGCCCAGATTTGGGTTTCATCAGCCTCATAGCTCCGATTGATTTTTGTTTTCTGGTTAAAGATGGCGGACATCAGAGATGTTGATTGTTGCTTTTATTTCGTTGGAGCTAGTGAAAATAAGATGCAATGGGAAAAAGAAGAAGAAACAGATGCGTAGGGATGGGTATAATTGTAACTTTAATTTTTAACTAAAATCCTTCATCTATTCCCAAACATGTTATTTTGATCAAATCCCACGTTTAAAATATCTGGGTTTTTAATTGAGAGATTTTAATCCAAATCCCTCATTTACACATTCCCTAATCCAAACGACCCCTAGGGGTTGTTTTTGTAGCGAGGGATTTGTGGGGAATTTTAAAATAATCTTTCATTATGCAGGATTTTAAAATCCGGTCACCTGGTCGCATCGCCCTCCTCTCCTACTCCGCTGCATCGTCGGAGATCTGGGTTTACGGTGTGAAGCGGCACGAGGCACGATAAACCCCCGACTTTTTGAGCAATTTAAGTACTCGAATTAATTAGCAAATAATAAATAACAATCTATCTATCATCTCAAGAGTTTCAGACTCCAATAAATATGAAATGAACGTTAGTTCGAGTATAAAATGAAGATACTTAACTCTTCTTCCTTTCACAAATCAGTAAAAAAATTAGGTGGAAAAATGTTATCCGGTTGGCTCAGTGGCGGAGGCAGGATTTCAAATTACCCCTGTCCTTTATTCAGAATATGTATAATATTTTATAAATATAATTAAAATTAATAATATCTAAATAATTCATTCACTGAAAAATAAAAAACTGACTAATACAATTATTCTTTCATAGATAACCGGGACGAGTTTTCATATTTTGAAAGAAATGTAAAATACATTAATTGTTTACACCATAATATCGTGATAATACCTAAAGAGCTGTTGTGAAATGATAGTGTCATGAATGAAACCAATAATTTAATTATTTTTTGTGAATTAATGAACAAGTAATGAGTTAATGTTGTGATGTTAAAATATCCTTATGTTACTTGTAAGTGTTTAATTCGATTTGTACAAATATATATGAGGTTATTTTTTTTCCTCCCCAAAAGTTACCCCTGTCCCGGGACAGGGCAAACACCCCTGCCTCCGCCTATGGGTTGGCTAGGAGAAGGTTTGATAGTTGTCTTTGGTTAGAGAGGTGAAGTCGAAAGTAACTAGAAATTGATAAATTAAGAGTATTTACTGCAATTTGTTTACGTAAACAGTTAAAATAGTTAAAAAAAACAAATACTTCTATAAGGTGTGTAGTTCAGTGATCAGGGCGATGCAATTATATCATAATGCAAGATTTGAATATTATGCATAGCTTATATTTACAATTACAGTGTCCATAAACCGTACCGTACCGTACCGGCGGTTCAACTACGAAATACCAATATCGGAGGCTAAACCGATAGGCGATATTTACCGATATAACGGTTGAACTACGATTAAATCACGATTTTACCATAAAATACCCTAACGCTGACTTTCCCGGGACGGTTTCATGGACCATATTTTCCATATAATTCTTAGAGGCACTTTCAAATCAAATATGGGCGTTGGAACCCACTCTCTTATAAGCTCCCTCCCCCCTGATTAATAACCCTCCACTATAAGAAGAGTTCACATGTAACTATTTCACAAATAACCACTTAACTCTGTAATAAAATAAACGCTAAGCAACGAGAACGTACAAATTACTCATCCGATCAAAAGAAGAATTCACATATAACTATTTCACAAATAACCACTTAACTCTCCAATAAAACAAATGCTAAGAAACTAGAACATACAAATTACTCATTCGGTCAAAAAATCTCCGCTTAATGTAACTGTAGTTCAACCATTTTATACAGTTAAATACTTTCTAGCGATTTAGCCTCCGGTAATTTTTTTGGATCATACTGTGGTAAATTTATAACTCCATTATTTTCACGCTTTTACCCCAAATTTCTCTTTGTAGACTGTTTACTGTATCCTTTCGCCACGTAGATAAAAGAAAAAATTCGGCTGCTCAAACCCTTCTGGATTATGAAGTACACACAGATATCAGGCCGCGAGACGTCTTTCTTTCTGATGCTCATGCTCCCAATTTTTGCTGTCTCCATTTTTATATTACTTTTATTATTTATATCTCTACCTCTCTCTTTACTCTCTCGGTTTTCTCCACAGCGGAAAGATTTGAAACCTCGGGGACTTTCTCTCTTCTATGCGATAGTTTGGTTCTCTGCGTAACTCTCCGCCGAGCCTCGGTATACAGGGAGAGAGGCGAGAGAGCTCCTCTGACGCAAAATCACTACTCATGACTGCTCCCTCTCCGGCTCCGGCTCTCCCGCCGCCACTGCCGCCGCCACAGCCGCCCGGTCTTCCTGCTGCCGTTCCTCCATCCGCGGCCTCTACTGCTCTCAACAAATGCTTCAATTCCGACTGTACGGAGAGCAAGTCCAAGAAAGGCTGGCGGCTGCGCTCGGGGGAGCTAGCCGAGCTATGCGATCGATGCGGGTGAGTATAACTACAAAGCGTCTCTTTAACCTCCTGCCTTCTTTTCAGTTCGAACTTAGCGGCTGGCTGTTTGGCTTTGGACTCTCTCTCTGGTTTCGTATGCGAATTTCATGTAGTCGGAGAACTCCAGCTGGAGTTTGGTGAATTCACGGCTCACATTAGTTTTCGTGATGTGGCAATGGTTGTATTTTTGTTGTTCTCTCTGCGTAGTCAGCCCATTTTGCTTGTTTGTTTGGTTCTGGTTGCCGGAGCTCGGAAAATTGAGCTTGGTTTGGGGAAATTTGTTTCTGGCTTCGTCTTGGTACGGTGGAATGCATGCTGAGTTTTTTATTTCTCGATTGGTCTAATACGAGATGGAAGAGAAAAACGGCTGTGCTAGCATTGTTCCTCTGAAATCTCTTTGATGAATTCCACGGTCTAAATTTGTGATTTGTTTTACGTGTATGCTTTAGTATGTGGCCATTAGATAAGTTCTTGCAACTTCCATTCCGGACTTTGACTTGGAGGTTGACGTTTGTTGAGTACTGAGACTGATTAGATATGCTGGGTAGGGAATGGAAACTCTGCCTATTGCAACTGCACCCAGCTCGTTTAGAGTTTTCAAGTTCTGATAATTTCATCCAAAACTTGGACATGGTGAATTGGAGTGTTTTAGAATTAACGGTAGGGATGTATTTGGAAATATGTCCATCATTGAGTTGGTGGGACTTTCTTACTATTTGGCCATATAGTTGAGTGTTAATTGTGAGCTTTGATATTCATTCGGTTGTCGAGTTTTTTGGGGCTGTTATGCAGGACTGAGGCCTTAACTTTTCATGAATTAACTTCAATGTTAACTTTGTTGGCGGTGACATAGGATGGCTTATGAGGAAGGAAAATTTTGTGAGATTTTTCACCCACGTGCTAGTGGCTGGAGGCATTGTGAGTCCTGTGCGAAGGTAAGTTGAGTGTAGCTTGATTGATTGCATTGATCTTTTCTACTAGGCTGTTCTGCTCTTACTGTAAATTGTCTCAGTTGTTAATTTCTCTATTGCAGCGTGTGCATTGTGGATGTATTGTCTCTGTTAGTGCATTTACGTTGTTGGATGCTGGTGGGATTGAGTGTGTGGCTTGTGCAAAGAAGAACGTAGTATTGGTAAGTATATGGTTCCCTTTTTTGTTAATGACAGAACCTAAACTTATTTATCTTTTTGGGGATTGACAAAGCTAATAGTAATTTGTAAGTTTTATGATTTTGAAATTCTAGTCTTGGTTAATGTAACGAAATGCTGCTGGAGAAATACGGTTCTTATGTCATTGTGCATCTTGTGTATCATTTAGTACAGCAAGAACAAGTCGCCTCGAGAAAAACACTAATATTGTGTGCTCTCAATTCTGCATTTCAGACATCAAATACCGCATGGGCACCTTTGTTTTACCATGGATATGTATCTGACAGCCTGAAGGACCTTTCAGTTAAAAACTGGAACCATTTAGCTGGATCAGGTCCTGTGCCATGGAAACAAGCACCCAGTTTGTTCAATTCTTCTATTCCTCAGACTGATGCGCAACCTAGGATGCCGTATGATGTTGTTAGTGCCTCTGAGAGACTATCTTTCACTTCTCAAGAAAAAGGAAAAATTGATTATTTTGCTCAGAGATTAACAAATGGAAATCTGAAGCTCAGTTCAAGGGACAAACCTGTGAATGCTAATGCAGGTACTAAGGGACACCTGAATACAGCGACTTGGTGGCACAGGGAACTATCAATTATGGTTGCTAAGCATTTTTCTCTCTTTATTTTTCATGTCTGCCTGCAGGTGCATCTGTTGAGGAACAACAGTCTTCTTGTGTAAGAGAAGATCTATCCACCCTGAAATTTGGCATGGTTGGAACATATGCATCCACAAATGAAGCTAATGGAAATTTTGGGTGCTCTGGACCAACTGCACGCGCGACGTCTTCACCACTTGTAAAGCAGATTTCTGTTAGTTTTCAGAATGTAAGTGATTCACCTGTTGAACCTCGTAGTCGAGGGAGACCCCGGGCAGATGCCCGTGGAAGAAGCCAGTTACTTCCAAGGTACTCACCAAGGTGTACTGATGAGGAGCTGGCACAGATATCTGTAAAGTATCCTTTAATCGCTGGGGCGTTCTTCATGCTTTATACATACTGATACCATTATGTAAATAAGCTCTGATTATTTTTTTTATGCTGGAAGAAGTTTGCGTCCTCAGTTCCTCTCTTTTATTTTCATAAAATATTGATTTCTGGGTTATGCTGATGGGTCTGGCTGAATCCTAGAACTTGACAATCATCTTAATAATTTACATCGAAACCTTAACCATTTCTAAGTTCAAATTCTATAATAACTCCTTTGTTTGAGAAACAATTGAGTCCTAGTGATGCTGGACGAATTGGACGGCTGGTGCTGCCAAAAAAATGCGCAGAGGTTAGAAACCCTCCTTTATCTTCGTTGTGAAAGTCCTAATAATTCTTTTCCTCTAATTATACATTGATATGCATTATTGTTGTCGATTCAGGCTCATTTTCCACCAATCTCTCAGGCAGATGGTTTACCTCTCAAGATTCAAGATGCTAAAGGCAAAGAATGGATATTTCAGTTCCGTTTTTGGCCCAACAACAATAGTCGAATGTATGTTCTTGAGGGGGTTACTCCTTGCATACAGAATATGGGACTCCAAGCAGGTGATACGGGTAAGCAGAAAATTGAGTATATCTGAACAGGAGTACTCTGGCAAGTTATCTGGGATATGTATGTGTAACAAGTGTTGAGGAAAAGAGGAAACCATGCCTCCTCAAACTTACACATTGAGTGATGTGAATCTAAGTTCCACAATTATTTCTGTTGCCATAATTGACAGTACTGTATATTTATTGACTCTGTTCCTCAGTGACATTCAGTCGGTTAGAGCCTGAAGGGAAATTGGTAATGGGATTCAGAAAAGCTTCATCTGCTCTGTCATCTGATCAGGTATTGGTAGCTGTTATCATTAATTTCTATCTCTCCCCACTTCAACCTCAATGATGATCCGCTGGTTTTGATTGGCGAATTAATGCTTTTATTGCTTATGTATGTAGGATAATGAATCAAGCAAGCCTATAACTGGGCCTTCTGGAAATGGAGAAGTTCGTATAAATTTCTACTCAGGCATTTATTTTTAACCAACATTTGTTTTTTTTTTATTAACCTGAACACAAATTTTTTTTTTTTGCCTTGATACAACCAGGTTGACCTGTTAGACCCGAGTCCATGGTCTAAAGTTGACTATTCAGGTTATATAGCATCTTCTAAAGTAGACAAGTCAGGTTACATAGCCAAAGAAATTCTTGATTCCAAACCTTTGGTGAAAAAGAGGAAGAACAGAATATTGGGTTCAAAGATTAAGCGCCTAAGATTGGAAAGTGAGGATATGATAGAATTGCAGATAACATGGGAAGAAGCACAGGGGCTGCTCCGTCCTCCTCCGGAAAATATTCCTAGTGTTGTGGTGATTGAAGGATTCGAATTCGAGGAATTTGAGGTAAAATGTTCTTTGTCTTGCTCAACTGGAGTCGAATAAGTTGCATTCTGTGTTCGTAACATCCAATGGTTTATGCTCCATTTTCGCATTTACAATATGCTTCTGACTCTATTCCCAAATACTTTGTGCTTAAGCTTATGTGTATTGTGTCCATGAGTTCTCAGCATCTTAGATATCAATTTTGCTACGACAGGATGCACCAGTTCTTGGGAAGCCTACACTTCTAGCAAATGATGATGCTGGGTAAATTGCTTATTTTGTTTACTTGAATCCCTTTATGACGAACATACTTTTTGTGGCACCCTGTGGTTTTGTCCTCAAATATGTCCTCTTTCTTTAATGTACCAAACCCTTACCTGTGTGTCTCTGCAGTTGAGATGTCGTTTTCTCGTCTCTATATTTAAAACTGACTGTTACCTACCCTCTGTTTTGTAATTGGATACCAGTAGAACTTATTGTGTGTTTGTGTCTTCTTTTTCAGTCACAAGGTACAATGGGCTCAATGTGAAGATTGTTCAAAGTGGCGAAAGTTACCTGCCAACGCTCTTCTTCCCTCCAGGTGGACATGTTCAAGTAACTTCTGGGATCCAGAAAGGTAAACAGTTGCTCTCCATTTTGCTTAAATCTACAGAAGTTATGTAGTTTAGGATGCCATCTAGGTTTTATTTTGGCCTGTAATCCATGCTCTTACCACCCATTTAACAATCGAGCGATAACAAATGGAAATGAAAAATCATTTCCATTTCTCAATTTTCAAAAAGCAAGTGGTTCTTTTTTGAAACAGAAGGAGAATGAGAGAAAAGAAGGCGATGGGCAGTCCACCTATGACCTGTCATCGTCAGAACATCCAAATCCCAGCATTTGCAAATGCCCTATTTTGGCCCCCTAGAATTTGATTTCACCCATTTTCTTTATTTCAAACATGAGAATGATAAAAGAGTTAGGAAACAGGAAATGTTTCTTCGATTTTTTAGCTATCCAAACAGGCTGTTAAGGAAAAGTGGGGCTTAAATCACATTCTGGTGGGTTATTGGTAGTTAAGCCTGTGATACTTGAACGTGGTTGCTTCTCTTATATACCTTGTGCCTCATATTACTTGATTTTGATAATGCAACTTATGGATCGTTCGAAAGTCTGACACTGCTAGAAAAAACATCCTCTTTTCAGATCATCATGCTTGGCAGATCAAGAAGTGAGCAGAGAACAGCTCAAAGATCTGCTGCCACCCCCTGATCTAGGTATATATTGCTTGGAACAAAAAATGCGTATTTTTCTACATATGCAAGGTGCACCGCTCATATAGACACAGGAAGTTGAACGAACTTATCCTTTTTTCTTCGATTAGTTGTTAGAACTATAAGAGTCTATTTTTCTGTTCGACTCTCTTCCTGGTACAATTTTTCTAATCCTTTTGGTACATAATATCAACATAGTCGAGTTTTCAATACACTCTTTCAAACCGTTTTGATTTGGAATTTCCTTCTCTCAATTGCCCGTGTTTGGAATAACGAGCAGCTGCTTTCAAAAAAATGAAGACTGGTAAATCAGAAACCACGGGTAACAACAAGGAAGAAGCTTCAGAAGAAGGGCTCGACACGCTCGCAAACTTGGCCATTTTAGGAGGAGAAGGTGGCGGTGGGGAGGCTTCTTCTTCTCAGGCTGCGACAACAAAGCATCCTCGACACAGACCTGGGTGCACGTGTATCGTGTGCATTCAGCCGCCAAGCGGCAAGGGGCCCAAGCACAAGCAGTCGTGCATGTGTACTGTCTGCCAGACAGTGAAGCGCCGATTCAGAACCCTGATGATGAACCGGTGGGAGAAGAGGCAGCAAAGGGAGGAGAAAAGAGTGGCAGCTGAAGCCATTGCGCGGAAGATGCAGCCGCAGCAGCACCAGCGGTCGCCAATAAAGGATGATGATGTTGATAATAATGAGGATGGTTCTCCAGCTTCAGGTCAGACCACAAAACCAAATCCCACCACCACCGGGTCCCCTTTCAAAGGTCAAATAATAGACTTGAACATCCAGCCGGAGCGGGAGGAAGAGTTTTCAGTGCCCTACACAGTGAAGCAGCAGCAGCAGAAGGCGGCGTCATTGTCTGCCTCTGCAAACACTGATGGTCATCGGCAGCAGCAGCAGCCCGAGCGAGAGGTAACACTGCCACCTCCTGATGATGATCCTGTATCCAGAAGCGACCGCGTGGCAACTGATCACACACCATCAATAAATGAAGTAAGACGTGCAGCCGCAGACAGAACTTCTGATGACGGTAGCTCCTTCAGCAACAGCATCTGGCTAGCAAAACGAACAGAAGCTCCTCCTGCCTCTTCTTCTGCCCCAGCTACTACCGGATAGCCCTTGGACTGGTGGCGCCATCCGCCAACAGCAGCCTGGAATGGAAGTCTTGTAATAATTTCATGATTGCTCCGCTCGGCCAACTTATCCGGTATAGCAGCATTCTTCTTCCAATGTGTGTACATAAAGTGGCTGGGGATCGGGAGAATGGTGAAGAAGGAAGGAAAGCCGCGCGCGACGGTCTTATCGTGATTGTTTGCCAACAATTTCTGCTGTTTAGAGAGTCTAGGGTTTGATTTTACTTGAATTTTTTCTTGCTGGGTAGTGAGGTTGAAGCTACGTAAGTAGGGGTTTGACTGTTGTTAGGAAGCGGCTCACCTCCACCTTCCATTGAGGAGGATGTAAATTGTGCAAGTCAGTGGACGTTGTATCCTTCAGCTTTGGTTGCCTGCATGCGGTCGATCGCTAAATGCATTATCGGCCGAGCAAGAAAGCAGCGTCAAGGAAGTTAGATTCTCCTGTCGCTACGATCGCCATTGTCCGAGCTTGAAAACTGCATTCGGATCTGGACAGGATCATCTTAAATGGAAGAAGAGTGGTGGCGAAATGTCTTGTTAACTGATCTCTGTTCAGCTACGAAGGGCAACTCGTAAAGCTTATATGTACCAGAAGGTCTAAAGGGGCCAAGGCATCAGGCGATGTCTGCCTGACTATTTTTGTTAAAAAAAGGAAGGCCCACTCCTTTCGCTTCACTGTTCCAAGCCCATCAGGTTTCTTCACATTGCAACTTGTGTGATGCCCACCCACTCATCACAATATGGATATGACAAGATACGTACTCCCCTTTGCAAAATTTAACCTTTTCTTCAATTATCATTATTTCTTAGTTTTCTAGTGTCATGTGAATCTTCAAACTTAGAAAATGCATTGGAGTATCAATACTCTAGACTTGACATATGGAATGACTATGAGATATAAATAGAAGTACCTTGAGTTTGAAAATTTAGAAAACATCCCTGATAGAACTATGGTTTACCTTGTAGTGGTTGAAAAGATTCAATATAGTTATCTGGTTAGAGCAAACCACCATATATTGTATAAAGACAAAAAAAAAAAAAAAAAATGTTGAGATATTGGAGAAAATTAAATGTGTGATATTTACTCGATTAATAACCGTTAGTCGAAAATCATGATATGCATTTTTCAATTCAATGATTACATTTCTTCCGATCCTTTCGTAATACAGGTACGGGTGTCCAGATTTTGTTCAGTTGGGATTTCTTATATCAACCCGTAATTGAACGGGTGAGAATGTTAACTATGTCAATTTGATGTCAGACCATTTTGCAACTCAACAATATCGATTTTGGATCAAAACATAAAATCAGGAAAAATCAAAATCATATCATGACCGTTTTAAGTGGGTAAGAGTATTAACAAACTAAGGCTAGGCTTTCTGCAATTTCATTTTTCTCTTACATTTTCTTCTGGTTTTCCGTTTAGGTTATTTTTACTCTTATTACTATGTTTTATTATTTTTCATATCTTATAGTTTCTTTTTTACCCTCCCTTAAGTGGTAATTCTAAGTCAAAGGAGAAATAAAAAAATCAGTTTGACACCAAGAAAAAAATAAAAGTAATTTTAATTAAATGAGAAAGGAGTGAATTATTTTACGTAATGATTTTTTGTAGAGGGATCGTAATGGAACAGAAATAGCTTTCACTATTTCAGTGTGAAAGAAATCCACAATATAATTTTTGCTTTTGCTAATTTACAGCTTTCTGATTCTCTCTTTTCCGTCGGAATAACTTCTTGTTGTAATAGCTAGTTGCTCTGTGTATAAAGACCAATACAGTTTAATGGAAATCTCTGAACTTCCTTTTACATTTACAGGAGAGTTTGAGTTGTCTTCTCAATTGCATACTAGATGGTAAACAGATTTGTTTTCAGTTTGTTCATACCGAACCAAAACCTGTGAAGGGGTTGACGTGCCTGATTTCTATTTTTTGGAGTTAATCGTTTCATTTTTAGATTTTTCCAACTTAACGATTTGGTTAACCGAATCAAAACCAAACTAGCAATTCTAGTCATAGGTATCCTGATGGATGACATGTTCGGCCAACATGTACAAAAAAAAATTATTCAATGTCGTATTGGGGTTGATTCAAATATTGTATACAGACAAAGACATTGTTCAAACTTTGACACAAAAAATAGACAATATTTAGATATTGGGAAAAATGAAATGTGAATGATTCACCTCGGTGGAAGCTGCCAATCAAAAGGGGCATTGTGCATTCTTCAATTCACTTGTTGTATATCTTTAAAAATTTTCCTAGTGTGGTTCTAAATTATTGTCAGTACGACATTGTTTGAAATTTCAAAATCGTTGTTTGAGCATTTGAAACGTACTGATGCACATGACAAGAGGTTAATCCCCATCATTAAACAATAATATTAATTAATAATGAGAGAAAATAGTGTATATATATATAGGCTATAGCCATAGATGACCCATAAAAAACCATTATATTACCATAGGCAACAAAAGCATAAATACTAGCTTACAAAACATAGTCTCGACTCTCAAGGAAACAAAAGAAAGAGAGGAGAGAGCGAGCGAGCTAACATTTACAACAACTATGATGAGATGAAAAAACTATTATCAAGACCGATCAAGGAAATCTAAAGCCTCTTCTATGATCAAGGAATCAAATCGAAAAAACTACTATCAAGACCGACCAAGAAAATCTAAAGCTTTTCTACAATCAAGAAATCAAATCGAAGAAAATCAAATCATCATATATAAATAGCGTCGAAAGATATATGATTTTCACCCCACCTCGACTCAAGTCACATGAAAGCAAGACCTTGTATGAACATGCTTTATCATAACTCAGAGATTTCAAAGTTTTGCCTTCATTGATCATGATCATAGCTCCTCGTTTCTTCATGGTAGCAGCTCTATGCTCTAGGCCATGATTGGTATCCCAGTATTATATCAGCAAGAAGTAAAGGAACGTCATAACTAGAGAGCCACCAAATCATCACTCCACAATAACAACAAGTGTTTTCTATAATCGTTCGTGATATATTCTCATTATACATGATCTTGTCTCTTACAATGAATCAAAGAATCAATTAATCTCTCAAAACTTGCTAATACAATTACAATCAGACAAGAGTAGAACAAGCCGAGGAAGCAGGGTCAAACAGAGCAGGTAGCAGGAACTTCCTGCCGTTCACTCCATTCGCATTGTAGCTCGCCCCGGTGGTGGAATCCAGCAAGAGCTCCCCAGCGTAGCCAGGGTAAGCTCCCTTTCCATAAACACCAGTACAAGCCGATGCAGCCTCCAATGGCGCCTCTTTGGGGCCCTGGAAGTACCCATTCCCAAACGGATTCGTCGCGGTTCCCGCCAACAAACTAGCCAGATTGATGATGATCCCGTCCATTCCGACGTCGTTGTTCGGTGAAACCAGAGGAAGTGACTGCGGGCCGTAGATCGGCTGGTGGAACGGCCACGCGCATTGCCCTGGACACTGCTTCTCCGAATTCCCGACCCATATGTAAGCGAACTTGGACACCTTACCGCCATTGATTTTCCGGGCAGAAGCAGTGCTAATAGAAGACCCGTGGGTTCCGCACTTGCTGGAACAGAACCCTTCCACGGCGACGTCGGAGGAAGTCAGGACTACGTTGACGGCGTTGGATTGGGCGCCCTTTGACGCCAATCGAACGATTTGCTTGGAGGAAAGGGATTTCCCCAATGAGTAACCCTCGTCGAGGATCTGGTTGCTCAATGACAGCGAGAGAGAGTGTTTGTTGGAGGATTTGATGAGGTGGTAGTATTTCTCAGTGGATTTCCACCAGTTCCCGACGGTAGGCTGCTGCTTGGATGCAGGGGAGGAGAGGGAAGCGACGAAATCGGAGACGATGGCGCGCTGGGAGGGCTTGAATTTGCCGTACCAGATGAGAATGACGGAGATTTTCCCGGTGAGGAGAGCGCCGTTGTGGTACTGAAACGCCAAATTGTCGCCGCCGTCGGCGGATTGGTCGGCGGGATTAAGGGTTCTGGCGGCAGAGGAGCCACAAAGAAGCAGAGTGCTGCAGAGGATGAGGATGTGGGGAAGGAAATGTGTCGAGGGAATCGCCATTGTAGTTAATTACTATTTCAATCTCGAAGATATGAGAATCAGTAGAGCTGAGAAGGGCGAGAATGGGATCTTGGAGAGGGTTGTGGAGGAAACTGAAATGGTTGGCTGCGGTATATATAATAGGGGACTTCCTACAGTAACTTGGGTATAATTTCAAGTTAGGTAACTTACATAGATCTAAACCGTTAAAATCTATCAAAATTATTTTGAACCATTGATTAAAGAAATAAAAAATAAAAAAATAACTAAAAAATCATTGGCAACAAGGGGTGGCCGGTCACCACCCACGTAAGTTACCATTTTTTGTTTTTTCCTTTCCTTTTTCAAGTTTATTTGCTTTCCTTTTTTTACCCTTTCCTTATTTTAATTATTATTTAATTAGAAGCGTTACGTAAAACTTCCGTAATAACTTAGCACTTTACGTAACGTGAGGTTAATACTCATTACATAAAGAGACCTTCTATTACGTAAAGGGTACGGAATGATAGTTATTTCTTACGTAACAGTGAAATCAGAAGCGTTACGTAAAGCTTTCGTAATGACTTAGCTCTTTACGTAACACGACATTAACAATCATGACGTAAAGAGACCTTCCATTATGTAAGGCTTCCGTAATGACATTTTACAACTGTTACGTAAAATACACATTCATTACGTAAAGGTTACGAAAGGATAGTTATTTCTTACGTAACAATTAAATAGGAAGTGTTACGTAAGACTTCCGTAATGACTTAACACTTTACGTAACACAAGGTTAATACTCATTACGTAAAAAGACCTTCTATTACGTAAAGGTTACGTAACGAAAGTTATTACTTACGTAACAGTTAAATCAGTAGGATTACGTAAGACTTCCGTAATGACTTAACATTTTACGTAACGCGAGGTTAATACTCATTACGTAAAAACACATTCTATTACGTAAGGCTTCCGTAATGATCTTTTACAACTGTTACGTAAGATTACCATATGTTACGTAACCATTACGTAATGTCTATTGTATTTTACGTAATGCGACCTGTGAAACCTGCTATCGCAGGTAAAAAAATTCAAGTTACCTTACTTTAAGTTACCGTAGGAAATCCCTATATAATAGAGCTTTTGCTCTGCAGAAGTAGTTGAAAGAAAGCAGAGCCAGTAAGGGAAACAACTAAGTGCCAGCCAACCAGCCAGGCCGTAACTCCTACTAGCATGTATCTATCTTGGGAAGCCATATCTGGACGCGCTAAAGTCAGAGCTCGTAAGCTGCGGGCGTGGTGTTAGGTTTCTGGATAGTGGCAGGGGACCAACCAGCTACTTGCAAGAAAGGAAGCTTGCGGGAGCGCCTTCAACAGAATCTATGTTGAGGCATTTGAAGGATTACAGTGAGTCGCCAGCTGGGTTAATCGAATTAAGCTTGAATGTATCATATTAATATAATAATATTCAGATGACAAAATGACAATTAATGAAGCAGCAGCCGAAATGTGGTTGACAGTGGAGGTGGTTTGTCCGCGGTTTGATCTCGATCAACACTACATGATCAAAATTATAATGAGTAGTGAATAGTGATCGACATAGGTGGATCGCAGATAAAAATTTTCCTATCCATACTTATTTGCATGAGTAGAGGGTGGGTTACGGGTCACCAACATTAGCACATGACGAACAATTGTTTTTGTTTATACTATCATATTTTCATAATATTTTCTAACCGCATCACGCACTAACATCAACTTCTAAAACGGAAAATATAGGGTATTTTTGAACTGCTACTATTGATTACTATGTTGTTTAATGTCAATTAGACATTGAGATGCAAACTATAACATATTGATTGTATCAAATTCATAAATAGCGTCAATTTTCTCTTTCGCAATAAGTTTGAGGAGTAATGAAAGATTCTATACCTCTATCAAATCAGTAAAATCCACATACATACAGATTTGATACCTCTAGAATATGTGGCTGAGTGACTATATTTTCTTTGTCAACCAATACTTCATTTGAGGTGGGTGGATAATGAGTTATGATTATACTAACTCGTTAACAATTAGGTGGATCAATTTGATAACGAAATTCACCCAACCCACACAACATCCACCCTTACTTCATTGCATAATTTGATAGGGAGTATGACTTGGTCGCAGGTTGTTTGGATGTGTCATTTTGGTTCTGTGGTATTTTGAATTAAAATGATGTATTATTTTAGTATGTGGTTTTTCAGTTTGAAATGTGATAATTGAGCATAATTGTATTGTTTGAATAGAATGTTCACATGTGGTATTTCACCACTTAAAGAAGGGAGAAGTGAGTTAAATTGAAATGTCTATTGAGGGATGCGGTATTTCAATTGACTTATTATGCATCATTTCAATTGTCGTAGGCCCCAAAATACCAAAACCCTATCTTTCATTCTCCAAACGAGATATTCCGGTCAAAATAACTCATCTGAATGTTGTATCCAAGCGAAGTAATTTACATGGTATTTTGGTGTCTTATTTTTATTAATTACATGGTAGATAGCAATTTACATGGTATTTGTATCTTATTTTTTAAGCAATTCGGTAAACAAGTCGAGTTAAGCTGAGTATTGACCTAGTTTAGATTCAGCTCATTAAAAACTGAGTCAAGTTTGACTCATTTACAAAATTTTGACTCAACCTCGCTCGGGTTGGACTCAAGTTTGGCTCATTAATGAGCTCACAAGCTCAATCTACTCAAGGCATACTCGAGCTTACCTCAAATATGATTTTAAATATAAGTTCCCATTTATTTGTATACCATGTATAATGATACATGTGATTAATATAATGATGAAAAAATAATGAAAGTAAATTTTTCGTAACCAGTTGATCTCCTGCTTATATACTCTGTTGTATCATATTTAGTTCTGTTATTTTGCAATAATTAGTATCGAGGCAAACAACAATAAAATGGTTATTCTTTTAAATTATAAATGAGACATATTTGTTCACGTACTCAAAGTCTTAAACCATCCTACGTGGTGAAGTACATAATCTAACAAACATATAAAACTATCAACAAATTAGTTCATAAGCTATAAATCAATTCACTAATATTTCCTTAATCGAGTTGGCTCGTTGGCCACATTATCGAGCTAACTCCATTTCGCTTAACGAGTCACCGAGTCGAACAGGCTTGCGAGCCTCACTTTAACTGAAAAAGACTTAACTCAAGCTCGAATCTTTAATAAACTAGTTAAGTTTCGAACAAGTTGTTCCCATTGTGGCCCAATACCCACTCATACATCACCAAAAGAATGTGACTGTTAATTTAAGTGATTGTTGTTACTTATCTTCCTGTGTGTCATGTCAACTCTCAACCCTAAAAATGCATTTGATATTCTATACTTCACACTTGATCGACATGAGTATGAGATATAAATATAAGTTAGTTTGCTTTGATAGTCAGAAAGAAATCAAAAATACAATTATGGTGTATCAAGCAGAGGTTATGAAAGATCCTACATAATTTTCAATATGTTAGAGTTGAGTGGATAATGTCACCGCATCAAATTTTTGCATAAAGACAAAGACAATGTTGAGATATTGGATAAAATTAAACAGTGATATTTATCTTGTTGACAAATAATCAAAAAGGGTCTTGTTAATTTTAGTTAATCAATTGCATTCTGATAGACGACTTTAAGGTTTGTCCTAGCATAATAGATGAGAGACTAACTAGTTTCTACTGGATTTATATTGTTGTGCAACAGTTGCCATGATAATAAGAGAAATATCATTCAATCATAGTTTATATAATTCTTTAAAAAATTGTGATTTCACAACTTGGCATGTTTAATGAATTTTGGTGACTTTGGAAGCAAGTTTTGTTGGAGTTTATTAGTGCCCACCTCACTATAATGTGAGCTCTTTTAATTACTTTTGCTAGTTGAGTTTTTTTGTCCAGTAGAAGTGTTTTTAGACTTGTTGTTAGTCGTTGCTGCATTTAAGGACTAGTGGGTTAGATTAGTGGTCGGATTTGGTGGAGGTTGTTGGGTCTTATGATTGTACTTAAGACTTGTTTTCATTTCAATAATATTAAGTTTTGCTTGGCATTTTAAGTATTTGAATAGATATTCGACAACAAATGATGAAAACTTGAGAGCCATAGAGTAGTCCATAATGACAATAAAGATTTTATATAATCATGATGTTATTTTACAATGAATCAAAGAATGAATGAATCTCTCAAAATTTACTAATACTAATACAATTGATGCACTAATATTTATGGTATGGATCACTAGGTAAGTAGTGTTTTTTCTTTCGCCTTCCATTTCATCATACGAGAGTAGAACAAGCAGAGGAAGCAGGGTCGAACAGAGCAGGGAGCAAGTACTTCCTGCCGTTCACTCCATTGGCATTGTAGCTCGCCCCGGTGGTTGAATCCAACAAGAGCTCCCCAGCGTAGCCAGGGTAAGCTCCCTTTCCATAAACACCAGTACAAGCCGATGCAGCCTCCAATGGCGCCTCTTTGGGTCCCTGGAAGTACCCATTCCCAAACGGATTCGTCGCGGTTCCCGCCAACAAACTAGCCAGATTGATGATGATCCCGTCCATTCCGACGTCGTTGTTGGGGGAAACCAGAGGAAGTGACTGCGGGCCGTAGATCGGCTGGTGGAACGGCCACGCGCATTGGCCCGGACACTGCTTCTCCGAATTCCCCACCCATATGTAAGCGAACTTCGACACCTTTTTACCGCCATTGATTTTGCGAGCAGCGGCAGTGCTCAAAGAAGATCCGTGGGTACCGCACTTGCTGGAGCAGAACCCTTCGACGGCGACGTCGGAGGAGGTCAGGACGACGTTGACGGCGTTGGATTGGGCGCCCTTGGACGCCAATTGAACGATTTGCTTGGACGAAAGGGATTTCCCCAATGAGTAACCCTCGTCGAGGATCTGGTTGCTCAAAGACAGCGAGAGAGAGTGTTTGTTGGAGGATTTGATGAGGTGGTAGTATTTCTCAGTGGATTTCCACCAGCTCCCGACGGTAGGCTGCTGCTTGGATGCAGGGGAGGAGAGGGAAGCGACGAAATCGGAGACGATGGCGCGCTGGGAGGGCTTGAATTTGCCGTACCAGATTAGATTGACGGAGATTTTCCCAGTGAGGAGAGCGCCGTTGTGGTACTGAAATGCCAAATTGTCGCCGCCGTCGGCGGATTGGTCGGCGGGATTTAGGGTTCTGGCGGCAGAGGAGCCCCAATGAAGCAGAGTGCAGAGGATCAGAATGTGGGGGAGGAAATGGGTTGAGGGAATCGCCATTGAAGTTAATTACTGTTACGATCTCGAAGATGTGAGAATCAGTAGAGCTGAGAGGAGGGGATCTTGGAGAGGGATGTGGAGGAAACTGGAATGGCGGGCTGCGGTATATATAGGAGCTCTGTTCTGCAGAAGTAGAAGGAAGGGAGTAAAGGGAAAGGAGTGGAGCACAACTAAGTTCCAGCCAGGCCATAACTCGTGCTGTATTTTGGGAACGCGTAAAAGTAAAAAACTGCGTAAGCTCTGGATAGTGGCAGGAGATGGAGATGGACCAACCAGCCAGCTGGGAGCTTGCTGGAGCCTTCAATGGAGAATCTATGGCGAGGCAACTGAAGGGTTACAGTGAGGAGCCAGCTGTGGGGTAATCGAATTTGAATGAAATAAATAATGAGATTAGGTAGAAGGAGAAGAACAAGACAAAATGGCAATTAATGGTGCGGCAGCCGAAAAGTACTTTCACTGAATATTTAATCCCACTCAAACCAAGCCTGAAATGCAAGAACTAACTGGTCTGGATTAACAAAGAAGCCCACTCGCTTTTCTTCATTGTTCAAAGCCCATCACGAATGAGCCCAAAGTAAATGTGTCCGAACATTTTCTATTTTTCTTAGCAAAGAAGCCCACTCCTTTTTCCTCATTTGCTACTTACTCATGTCATATGATATTGATACCCACCCATCAGGCCATCAAAGAAAAAATATCGCATGGCACATACACGGCTTGCTGTTTTAGTTTTCTTTATTGCTTATTTTTCAAGTGTCATGCCAATTTCTAAAACCTAAACATGCATTTGATGCCTATACTTTACACTTGACATGCAGAATGATTATGAGATATAAATAGAGGTAGATTGACTCTGGTATCAACAAAAAAAAGAAAATGAGTGAAAAGCTGACTTTATCTTGTAGAGGCATTGGAAGATACAATATAATTGTCAATTTTTGAATGATGGGTAATTACATGATCTTGAAAATACAAATATATTGCACATAAAACAAATATAGTGTTGAGACATTGGAGAAAATTAAATTTCATCCGGTATTTGAAAAGCGTTATTTGTTGGTAGTATTATCAACTTCATAAGGATTTATGGCTACCCACGTCTTAGCTTCCACCTTGTGCGGGAATCCCATGTAAAATACCCTCCCAAGTTTCCACCATCAATCTTGCTACTAGCCCTCCTTATTATTATGGTCTCTTTGGTACAAAGAATGGAGAGCAAAGCCACGGACCATTTGCGTGGCCTATTGGTCATCAACTTGGGATGCTTCTTAATTATGATTAGGATATTGTAATATCTCATGTATAGAGAGAGCAATTGATGTTGCCTTTTAGACTTCTTAGGGTTATGACAAACACATGGGTATACATCTATTTGCGTGTGCTACCCTAACCTTGAGCAGTGAGTTTTGTATAACATAATGGGTACTACCCATGACCATTTAGTTAATGATAGGCCAGGCTACGTTTTTTCGGCAGGCAAACAATGGCTTTGAAACTGTATGTAGGGTATCCAGGTAACAAAAATGCAAACAAGGCGCTTATAGTCGCAGAGTACTCTAGTGTGAAGATGATGAGAATACTGTGTCTCTGAACAAGGTCGGTGGATTTCTGCCAAGTTCTTCAAATAGAAAGTGAATGATTTAAAATGCATCAAACTGTTGTTAATTTAAGTCCTATTGGGGTTGAGCCAAGTTTTTTTTATAGGTGGGTGAGTTTTGTTTGTTTTGAAGCATTTCCTTCTGCGGCGATCCAAACGGCTTTTTGGAACCTTGAATCATATGAGAAATTTTACAATGCTATATAGTATTGGTGCTATAGGGTTTTGCTTTTATGGTACAACTTAAAATTGTACATTTACGTTATGGTACAACTTAAAAATGTACCTATACTTTTTGTACAAATTCTCTTACGGTACAACTTGAACTTGTACCTTTATATATGGTACAACTTCAAGTTGTAAAGTTGTTCCATAACATAATGGTGAAAATTGTTTCATGGTACAACCTAAACTTATACATTTAATGTTATGGTACAACTTTAATTTGTATATTAAAGCATCAATACTATATAGCATAGTAGAAGTGCTCGAATCATATATACCATTTAGTTAATGATATTCAGGGTGTTAAGCATCCGTCCTGCACACACAAAATCATTTCAAACTGTGAGGCATACCCTAGTAACCACATTGAATTAGCGATATAACATCGTAGGTTCTTGAAACATAAAAATTACAAAAAGATCAAGTTTAAACACTAGATTTATAATAATGGAGTAATTACGAAACTATCCAAATCATGTTAAATATTGAAAAGTATATTGGCATGTGTTGTTTTACAAGCTCCATATATGCCTATATGGCCTTGGATGTCTACTTTGAAACTATAACCCAATCAGGCAAATCACATAGGAAAATTATGGGGGAAATGGAGAAGTCCCAAAAGACAAAGTCACCATGGTTTTTGTTGGGCCGCGTAGTTGAGCGTATTTGGGCCGCGGGCCCAAGAAGAATAAGTCAGTGGACAAGGCCCAATAAGGGAGCCTGGCCCGATCAGAAAGACCGGGTCAGCGGACGGTCCTTGACCAACGCTAGGCCCGAAAAGAGCCAGGGACGCCTGACATAAAGGGACTGGCTAACACAGAAAAGTAAAGATCCGTTGAGATACGCCTGATGTCTCAGGTAAGACTAAGCATTTATTACCGGCCACAGGCGGCCTGCAGAAAGGCTAAAAGCCTGCTCAGGGCGCTTGACACGGCTCAAGACGCCTGACATGGCATTTAATGTCTCAACCACCCTCAAACCAGGTATAAATACAGAGTGAGTGCATTAATGGTAAACCCAACGACTACCTATCTCTCTATCATAAATCTATCTTTTCTCCCTTTCTCTCTCTAACTTAAGCTTCGGAGAGTGTCCCGGGCAACCGCCTCGAACCCTTGTTTTGCAGAGTATCTGGAGCACCTCCCTCTGTCCTTAAGCAGACGCCTCGCCCCAGCTCCACAAACCGCCTAGTATCTACTAGGCACAAACAGTTTTGTTATTTAACGATATTTTTGGGATCCAACAAAACTTTAGGCTAAAAAATAGGGTAGTCGGTTGAATGACAAGGTAATCCGGTTAGTAATGTACTGCACAATCTTTTTTTAAGGAAGAGTTCACACTTCCATACCGAGGCTAGAGAATAAGCACAAGTTATTAGCTAGGTTTATGTAGATTCTCAAACTCATGAAACAACGTACAGTTTAGGAGAGCATAGCCATAAACAAAAGCGTATTTACTTATTTAATAATTATGCTTCCCAATTCAAACAAGATGTTGTCTTCTCACCAAAAAAAAAAGAAGAAGAAGAAGATGTTTACATGACATTCCGTATGGGAGAATGACTCAATATCTTTTTTTTTTTTTTCCGATCAAAAAAAAAAAGATATTGAGTCATTCTCCCATACGGAATGTCATGTAAACTAATAAATCCCTTAATCACAAAGTTAGAGAGAAAAAAAAAAAGATAATAACTTAGAAATCATATTAGTCGAATTTCCAATACAAACCGTAAACATTTATTAATTAAGTTGCTTAGCGAACAAAAATTGACAAGGATCATACGCACTACACACGAGTGGATGAGCTACGTGTATTACAGGAGGGTATATAGTCTCTCTCAATTTTTTTATTTAAGATAATAAAGTGTGTATTCATATATTGAGAAAACACTAGAAAGTGATCGGATGAGGCTATTAACCTCACTCCTCCAATCGTGAAAAGATATTACAAATTGTAATTTTCAGTCACTCTTCACTCTAAATCTTGACTTCATCACTGCTAGCACCTACCTTAATTGTTGAAGAATAAAGCTCTAGATATATTCCTCTAAACATTGATATTTAGGGTGACACATCTATCTCTCGATTTGTCATCGAGCGATTGACGACTAAATTCAATATAGTGAATAGCTATCGCCAGCAAATCATCTTCTACTCGATCCCAATCAATTGAAGCCTGAAGGTAAAAGTCCAGTACAATAAGTAGCACACATTAATCCATTCACAAGTGATAACATGCAGCTTTATTGGACACTCCAGAAGTTATTTACAGATTGGCAACGCAATCTCACAATAGTGTGCACGACTTATAATCTTGAATTTTGGAAGGGGTTCACCAAATACAAGCATTACCCGTAAATTGGATTGCTTTCTACAATATGCCAGCATATTGAATCCCTCTTCGACATTGCTTTGAGATGTAATCAAAGTTAAATTACTCGAACTCGGACTTCTTGACATCAATGTAATGATTCCACTCTTTTATGAGCTTCTGCCACGATTAAAGTTCTTACATAAGTCTTTGAAGCTGGCCAAATCCACCCTTTTGGTGTTGCTATGTGCATGGAGATAACTCAGTTTATAATTCAAGAAAATTTAGAACAAAAAACAACAAGAAAAATGTTTTTTTTTTTAAGAAAACAAGTTCGTGTTTGAAAGTCAGGACCTTGAGAGGATTTTGTGGTTGTAGGATAGATACTGAATTTTGGAAAGGAAAAGAGGGGGAGAGACCATGTCAACTAAACCCCAAATCTAATTAACCCTTTCATCTTTTTTTTTTACCTTTGCCAAATTGATGGAAACGAAAATGTAAGAAGATAAACCCCTTACTAAAAAACTTGAGAGTCAAATTTTTACCAAAGCCATTTTTTACCGCCCTCCTAAAAATAATTAATCTCATAATAACCCTCTTCCTTCTACCTTCTTCCTTTCCTCCCCTGGCCTCCCTTTCAACCCCAAAAGAGAAAAACCCCAATCTTCTGTTCCGCAAGAACACAAATTTCTTGCTTCTCACGTCACCTCTATCTCTTCCTCCTCATCAACCCTGAAGAGGAAGATAGTTTGATGACAAGTACTGTTTAATTAATCACAATTAACACTAATCATTTTTGGAGGAATTTGCTAAAAAAAATCCCGCAAACATGAATGACCTTTTATCAAATTCCTTCAAGAAGTACACCGACCTGAGGGAACAGACTCGGATGGACGACCTGGAGGCCGGGAAGGAGAACAGCAACCTCGACAAGTTCTTCGAGGACGTCGAGAATGTCAAGGAAGACATGAAAACCGTGGAGAAGCTGCACAAATCTCTGCAGGAGGCCAACGAGGAATGCAAGACTGTGCACAACGCCAAGACTGTAAAGGCCCTGAGGGCCAAAATGGACGCCGATGTCGGTCAGGTCCTGAAGCGGGTCAAGCTGATCAAGGGCAAGCTGGAAGCGCTGGACAGGTCGAATGTCGCAGCTCGAAGCGTGCCCGGATGTGGGCCCGGCTCATCGGCGGATCGAACGAGGACTTCTGTGGTCGGAGGGTTGGGGAAGAAGCTGAAGGACCTGATGGACAATTTCCAGAACCTGAGGGCCAAAATGTCTGCAGAGTACAAGGAGACCGTGGAGAGGAGGTACTTCACCATCACGGGGGAGAAGGCGAGCGAGGAGCTGATCGACGATTTGATCGCGAGCGGGGAGAGCGAGAGCTTCCTCCAGAAGGCGATCCAGGAGCAGGGGAGGGGCCAGATTCTCGACACGATAGCGGAGATCCAGGAGAGAAACGACGCGGTGAAGGAGATCGAGAAGAACCTGATCGAGCTGCATCAGGTTTTCCTCGACATGGCTGCCCTCGTCGAGGCTCAGGGACACCAGCTCAACGACATCGAGAGCCACGTCGCGCACGCTAGCTCGTTCGTCCGACGTGGGACGGAGCAGCTCCAGGAGGCCAGGGAGTATCAGAAGAGCTCCAGGAAGTGGACCTGCTACGCCATTATACTGGGGATTGTGTTCATCATTCTGCTTCTGCTCCCCCTCGTGCCATCTATCATAGCTCTCATACAAAGCAGCAGGTGAAATGGGGATTTAAATAGAGATGAACATTTCGTCCATCTGGTGTTTGCTCTCTACAACCTGTTATTTTTTACTTCTTGGCTTCGAGAATGGAGGCAATTTTTACCACTTTCTTTTAGTGCTTGAAAGGAGAAAACGAGGACATCAAGGTTGGCTTGGCTGTAAACTCATTTTGTAACAGCAAATTACACCCTCTTCCCCCATTAAATTCAACAAAATTTTCAAGTAGTTTCTTAGTTTCAACGTTGGATACCATCGAAGATGGCAAGCAAAGGAACAACTCCTTTCAGTCTCGGCTCGAGGGAGCGGGCTCGTTTACTCTGCACACGCATGACAGCTCCATCCAACGGCTGCTGTACATTCTGAGCTTGTAGGAATTGTGGCCTCTTGCACTCTTCCCACAAGCCAGATTGCCCACGAAGAAAACAGACTGTTATCTGCATTCTGTAGATGAACAGCCACAGAATGCAGTTCATAAGCTATCCAGATTCCCAGATCGAAAAAGGAAGCATCTCTTTTTTGCGCATTTAAACTGGACAATATAGAGAAGTAGGAAAAACTCTTCACAAAGCCAAAAACCAACATATGAAAGAATGTTGGAACAGTAGGATATTACATTTAGCAACAAACCCATATGAAGCATTAATAATATGACAACAATGAAGAATCACTCAGAACTGGTACAACATACTTGGTTTCCCTCGACCAACGCTCGCCTACAGCCATTTGCAAAACATATTAAGCCGTTTGAAAGTCTGGCTGGCTGACTTCCAAACCCATCATCACCAAAGAAGGGAACAAATACTAAGCACGAGACACAGACGAGATCATGGTGAATAATGTACATATAAGGTTTCTATGCTCAGCTGAGAAAACCAAATTTTCAAGTACCAGAGCTAGGTAAAGCTGCCATGAACGAATTGTAGGAAGACTCGAGATCAAAGTGAAGTTGCCGTGACTGCTGCTCTGTCAACTCATCAGAAGCCCCCATCTTAGACAGCCTCGAAATCCACTCTCTCATCTTGGTCTTCCCTTCAAAGTCAGGGGGCAAAATGCTAAGCTTGTTGAGTGAAGCCGAGAGATCTGACAATAGAGGATGCACCTGGTCCACAGCCACCATATTCAACTTCAAAGAATCCATAGCCGTGATGAAATTCTGGACACATTCCGCAACAGTTGCAGCCGAGGTAGTTCCGGTGGCAGCAGCAGCAGCCCTGTGCTCGACCGTGGCAGGCACCCCAGAAGTCACCAAGCGGTTTATAGCAGCCGGGCAGTCCATCTTGTACGTGTCAGCAAACCGCTCGATGCTGGGGACAGTGTCCTTCAGAGCAGAAGCTAAGGTCTTGAAATGAGCAATGAGCTTCTGGCACTCTGTCTCATAATCAGATGAGTTGATGATGTCTCGAACATAAGCCTTCTCCAGCTTCTCGGTAGCCTTGATTATGGCATAGAGCTCGGCAAAGTTCTCGTACATCTCTCGCTCACGCTTATCGTTCCATAGCTTGACCTCCATTTCTTTCTCTGGGTTAGATAGAGTTTAGCACCCCCAAAGCTTTGGGATGGTTAGCAGGATTAGGAAGGATGGAAAAGATTTGGAGAAGAGAATGGGACACGCGCAAAAGAGCACTAGCCCTCTTCACTGAAACCAATCAACAAACAGATATCCACAAAATTAGAACCCGAAAGGCGCAAACCCTCCAGATACTGAACCAATCAAAACCATAGTTACAAGTAAGAACATCCAGTAGCAGCACAAATTCGTCCTAAAATCACATTCCACTAACAATGAAAGCCAAAAGGGTATGAAATTTGAATCACACAAACAGTTTATTACCATCCAAACAGGGTATACAAGATTTCCACCCCATTGAAACAAAATAACTAAGGCAAGAACACAAAGCACAGAACTTTCCCCCAGTTCTTCAATCCAATCACCCCGATCCTACGAACCCAATCCAGCAAATACAATGCACAGACAACATTTACTGTTTCTCTAGCTCAACAGATACAGATTAAAAGAGGGTTCGAGGAATTGTAAACGAACAAACCCTAGAAAAAGAAGCGAAAGAATTTTCTGTGTTTTTACCTCAGATCATCATAAGGAGAAGCTGTGGAACCAAAACAGAGGATGGGGGAGAGGGAAAAACAAATTATAAAGGGATGCGTGTTGGGAAGAAGAGAGAGAGGGCTAGGGGAAGTGAGAAACGCGGCCTTGAATGACGTGAAAGGGGGCCTCTCTCTCTTCTCTTCTGTGTTGTACTCTTTTTCTTTCTTCTCCCCGGACTCTGTTAGTTTAGTTCCCGGGATGTATATTTTCTAACGCCCCTCGGAAAAGAAAATATATGTTGTAACAGTCCATGAATCAAGTTTAGCTGTCATTTTAATACTCAGAGTTTGACTGTTTTACCAAGTTCGTCGGAAACCTTTTGCGAGAAATGACAAATCGATTTGCTTGATTTTTCATCTCGCATTCTTAATTACTATATGTCGATGCAACGGTTTGGATTACAGTACGAATTGCTCACTCTTTCATTGTTGGCTAGATATGACAAAAACACTTCACTTGATCAGTCGGTTAAGAACAATTAGTTTTGAATTTGTAGCTCTACAAGATTCGTTTAGAACTTATCATCGTCTGTCTTTCAAGATGCATTTGAGAATAGATGTGTGTCTGGTTGAAAGTGATGCCCCAAGTGGCAGCGGGTCAGTGAAGGTCCATGTCGAAGACGCGCAACAAGACAGGCGCAACGACACCATTTCTCGACGAAACGCTATCGATTATGGAATATTTGTCCATCCGTTCCGTTTCACTTTTTCTTAACGATTGAAAGGACTGGAATGTTCGAAATCAAGATTTACGAGGCTCGAATGTGAGGAAAGAGTTTAATAATAGGACTTATCTAGGCTTTTCTGCTGGATACTAACTACTACTAGCAGCCGATAGGAGAACAGCGAGGTAGCGTGTGGGTTGGGTTTCCCATCATACTGCTTACGGCATCTACGTGTAGCAGTTGGGAAAACTGTGACCCAAACCCAAGCTGGATTTTGCCAATTCACTTTTCTCCACTGTCCACTGCGCCCATCTCTCTTTTCTTTCTCCATTCCCCATCCCGTTACGTTCTGTTATGTTAATGTTATCAGGTTGTCACGCCGGCCGACGTGTCATCGGTTGTACCATGTTCAACCGATTATCGGTTATAAAATCGGCGTAACATCATCGGTATGACCGGCATGATCGATATACGAATCTCTAAGTAAAATGACCTTGTTTTAGCGAATTTAATTGATAAAAATTATTTTATTATTTATTTTATGAGTATAAAAGTTAAATATTGATGTTATTTGTTGGATTCAAGTATAAATGTTAAGGTATTGACGTTAAATGTCATGTTTAAATATGAATATTTATAATTTTATTTGTAATATTGACCGGCATGGACCGGCACAAACCAGTATGCGCCACCGGTCGAACCATTCCACTTGCTAAACCGGTTTGACAACCTATTGTTATGCAATGCTGCTGATGAAGTGAAGTGACCCTACGCTACAACTCCCATCCCCCCACTTCTCTAATCATTTTCCCTTTTCCTGTTCACTGTTCCGTTTTGGAAACAACAAATAATTAGGTGGAGATAATAATATTTGGTAATTGGAGCTTTCTCCCACTCCATCACTTCCCTTCCCCCCTCACATGTAAAACAAGTACGAACCCTATTTGAATAATTAATCATTTTTTAGATTTACCACGGATCGTTTGTTCATTCGAAATTTGTGTAAGATCGTTATAAAATTGGTATCGTCATCTCAAAAATCAAAACAAAAAATGTTAATGCTATGCGATATCTTGTATTTTGATGGTCACATTCACGCCTTGTAGCTTCTTATCTCTCTTTGTTTCTCCTTTACGAAAAAGTTCTGAATGACGGACAGTGAATTATGTTTTCAAACACGCTAACTGGATGCATCCAATTATTACAAGAAAAAAAACATCCAATTTGATGAGATTGTGGAATCCAAACTTCCGGATGGATGGATTGATGTAGGGACTCCACGTAATATAAAATTTGGAATGAAGGCTCTCTTTTGATTCTTTTTTCCATGCATGATTGTTAACAACTAAAGCAGTGTGGTGTGCTACTTAACGTGCATGCTTTTTTCCATTAGTTAACTCAAAAGTCGAAGGGCTTTTTGTCAAAAGAGGAGGCAGTAGTTGCGAGTTTTAAACAATAATAATATATGTGGTTGGTTTCTTACCAAATCATTGATTGGTACCTAAAGGCAAAAAAATAATCCAGCTCCATGAATGGAAGGCGGCTCCAAGACCGACGCAGGATTCGGGGACTTGTTTGACGTTTTCAAGTCATATGGGCTAAGTGGGCTTCTTTTCAGTTTGGTCCATAACGACTTTGAGCCTTCAGGCCTAATATTTGTGCCGGCCCAAAGTGGTCTGGAGGAGAACCGTGGTGGGGATCCGGGCCTGTTTCATCACTTTATCAGTTTCCAGCTATTGTCTATTCTATTGGTATCGGGTTGGGGTTGCTCCAACTTCTTTTTAATTTTGGTCAAACTTCTTGAGCCGGCTGTTTTCCTATTCCACTGTCTTGGAGCCGAGAATGTATATGTATTTAATCGAATGAGTTTAGATTAAATAGTGAGAAAATTATATCCAATTATTAATTGTATTATTTAAATTCAGATTATATTCATATTCATTTGAAATTTATTAATTTTGAGCATTATCAATAACGGTATTTAAAAATCTGAATGAGGGTTGATTTGAGAGGTGGTAATTGGAAATGATAGTTAAGGATATACCGGCTACCGTTTTTCTTAAATTTGTTATGAATCTTACTTATAATATTTACTTACATTTCAAAGTTGAAGCGGGAAGATACTCTTTCTATATTCAACCCAGCTCGATTGCATATTGTCATACTCATACTGATACCCAATTAAAACGGATTTGGACTTATTGATATTTGCTTGTCTCTAACTATGTTCTCGCCTAGCGAGCTGGCAAGTTTGTAAGAACTTAGGACTTCTCAACCGACCGGCGACCACTTGCATCCTCCACCTAATTTGGATCTGAAGATGTTAATCTCCATCTACCACAATTTCATACTGATTAGCATACTTAGGGATCCATAATAACGTGTTTTAGTCCATAGGAAAGAACAAATTCATGTGCTATTTCCATGATACACAGTAAATAAATCCTTCTCAAAAACAGAGACAATTTATGTAATTAACCTCGCCTTTATATTAATAAACCACAAAATAAAAAAAGTCAGTAATTTACATACCAAAACAAATCCAAAATAATAAACCATCCTCCAGTCCACCAATCCCCCCTCTAAACCTAACTTGAGAGTTGAGAGCATGAAAATTCAAACATGATCATCCCAAAATTCAAAAAACAAAAAAACAAATTTTCACTGTTGGTATAATTTCCATATATGATAATAAAAAAAAACCAACCTCCATTGATCTTTTTCCACCTTTTAATAAAAATTCAATACTATTACTATCTATCACTTGCTTCCACGGCTAATCATCTCCTTGTACCGGTTTATTGACTCCTGCCGCTGCATCCTCATCTCCTCGTTGAACTTGTTGATGAACGCCTCGACTCGGCGGTTCAACTCGTCCTGACCCAGCGACGGCTCCTTCTTCAGTCTCCTCTCCCCTCCCGCCGTCGCCGGCGACGGCGTCCCTCCGCTGAGCGGGGGGAGCTGGTTGGTCCTGTCCTTGAACGTCTCCGATTTCTTCACCATCGCCGGCGGCGGACTCGGTTCACAGTCGAGGGAGGAGGATTCCGGCACGTTGATGTGACGTCCGTGATTCTCCCACGTGTCCGACTTCTTGAGGTGCCTCGTCAACGGGATTGGCCGCCCTTCCGTTATCATCTTCCACGTGTTCTCCAGCGTGTCGTTTCGCTTCGGCTTCGACACCTTCCTCAACGCCCTTCCACCTGCCCAATCAGCATTGCCAGCTCATTAATTAATTACCCTCCACATAAATGAATAAAAATAATCTGGTTTTATCCCTTTTCTCAACGGGAAGAATTTTTTGAAAAACAAAATGGAAAGGGGCTTTCCCGACTTTTAACACCCACCCGCGTCACATAGACGCCACCAGCTTTGAACGAGTTTCCCCTAAACGACAACACTTCAAATCTAAGCTTACTTCGAATTTCGGTACTGGCCAGGAAAAAAAAATGGAAATGGATGGCTAGCAACAACAGGGAAATCGGCGCCGGGAACGGGTCGGGTCCCGCCGCACCGACCAAAAGGGGGAAAATTAGTTCGAGAGTGGGAGTTTCTGGAAAGTGAAATTACCTTCGGGAGTGTTGACCTTGACCGGCTTCCGGTGAACGAATCGAGCGGAAACGAGAGGTTTCTCGGCCGGCGCCGGGGACAGAGCCTCGAGCAGAAGTTTCTCTGACGAATCAATTCTCTTCGGCGGAATCCATTCAGATCTCGATATCACAAATTCATCCTCGTCAGCCGGCAGCACGACCTCTTCTTCAGCCGCAAAGGAAGCACCGCCGCTCACAGTCACCGCCTTCTTGTCCTCGAACATTAATCCTGAATCGGCATCCATCGCCACCGCCTCCCGCCGCATCTCCTCCACCGCTCCTCCGCCGTAATTGATAGAATGAGCAGCAGAAACAACAACATCAGAGACCTTCGCCTCATCGAAATCGAATCGATCCGGCCGCACAACCGCCACCGCCTCAATCTTCCGCGGCTGCTCCTCTCCGCCGCCGTGGTGGAACCGCGACGTGGCGGCAATGGTGATGATTATGCAGTTGATGACGAAGTAGAGGTACGGAGGCCTGAGCCACGACGAGATCGAGCTCCAGAGCTCCGGAGCTCGGTAGGCGGAGAAATCTCTCAGCAATGGAACAGAGGATTTCACCGCCACTCCGGCGGACAGAACGGCGGTGGAAATCAGCAGAATCCGGAGGGAAAAGGTGAGATACGCCATTTTTTTCTTGTTCTGTTTTGCGGAAGTAAAAAAAGTTTCCCGGCGAGGGAAGCGAGAGGAGGAGACGGCAGAAATGGAGTTCAGTTTTGAGTAGGCCAGCTCTGAGTTAGGGAAGCAAGGAGCGAGGGGTGAGCGGGTTTATATAGAGGAAGGAGGAGGGAAGTGAGCCGTCAGATGGATGTTAAGTTTGATCTGGACGGTCGAGATGGGAGGAGAGCGTTATTGTATGCGGTAGGGTGTAGGATATTGGATGTGCTGATCATGTGGCAGCTCTCCATCCATGCAAAAGTGGCTGATTTCGGGTATCAAGGATATTCGGCGGCGGGCCCTACTGCCTGAACATATGTGGATTAATTATATAATAATTAAGCTAATTAAAGTATGATTATGGAAGTATCTTTTAAGAGATGTAATTATCTGTCGGTCAAAAGAAAAGATCATGTTAGTACTTATCTGTTGGTTCCATACTCCCAATTCATATATTTTTGGTTTCTGATGTCATATCGTATATGTTGTTTGTATCAGTTAAATGATGTATTAGTGTTTATTTTCATAATATTGTTGGTTCGCAATATTAAAATCTTGGTCACGTTTTTGCTATTATAGTTTGAATATTTAGTATCACAACTTATCTGATACTCGCTTCACAACCTTTTTTAGATACTTGCTCAGTAAATAAATTGTGAAGCGAGGATTGTGAGCAAAATAAATGTGACAACAATATATATGAAATCGAAACTAACTTTTTCAATTAAATTTAGTCATAAAACGAGTCATTCATGATAGACTTTGCAACTAGATCAGGTTTAATCAGCATAAAATTTCATCGGACAGAGATAATAAGATTGAATAAAGAGTAATTGAGAGCATCTAATCATGATTGACTAGCTGTAAATTATGTCAATCTAGCTAGGGATTGCATATGATTTTATTAATGGGAATTGGGGGGTGATGGAGATTGGGAAGTAGTGGGAGGAGCTGCCGACTAGGAGAGAAATGGGGGGCACTTGCTTTGCTTTGCTTCCGGAACTCCCTACAATGATGTTGCCTACACAATGAGAATGAAGTCTCAATGGATAAAAAAGCCAAAATAATCGCTTTGCCTAATTATGGAGAATATTTTCTCTATAGTGACTATAGTTTTCTGAAGTCTGTTCACATAAAATGCAAAAGATAAAAAAAGAGAGAAAATAAAGACACGATATCGCGGAACAATGATTATAAGAGATAAGAAATTAATATAAAAAATTGATTAAGCAGTATAGTAGCTTGAAATCAAGTATACTAAAAAAAGGTACGCATATAAACAAGACTATATAAGGTAAAAAATGACAATAATTTATGATTTTAATGACTTGCTACTTCGTAATAGTGATCATATTATTTGTTTGGGGTCGCTTATAAAAAATCAAATTTAGTTGTCGGCTTCTCGCTGATACTTCCTCATTAACTATTTATGCTTAGGTAGCATGCATATTAATTATATAACTATCTAGTTTCAACTTGCAATGAATCATCCACGACATGCGACCATAGGTCCATAGAGAGATGTGTAGATTCATTATGATTGATCATTCAAGAATGAATTTTGTTAGTTAGTCGGTTGGCTCCAAATGAGATTCGCTGTAACACTGCCGGACGGGTGAATCCATGTATATTGAAGGTCCAACCAGTACTTTCATTGACTCGTTGATGACTATATGGTGGAAGTATTGTGTCTTGATCTCAATTGAGTGTATTGATGTTGAAGTTTCCATCGAGTTCTGGTAGTTGATCGATCGATCGATCCGATTATTTTCTCGTATATAGATCCCTTTGATATTGGTTGTATCATTGCAACATGGCCTGGCTCAAAAGGAGAGGGCCTTTTTTTGGCGGCGACGGGAAATAAAGAGAGGGTCGTAGCTAATAATAAGTAACACACTTGAGTTTATAACTTTATATATGCACATTATTCCCCTCAACGGTCAATTGGTCACATATTTATGTGTTATGTTATATTATTGTAGTGGATTCGACCGTTACTTGCTTTGGGCTGTAACGAGATCCTGAGCCCGCTGGTCCAGTGGGTGCGGACGCGGCTCAAGCACGTGCGGATACAGGCTGGGGATGGGGGCTCACCACTGCCGACCATTTTGGTCTCCTATGCCTTTCTTAGTTGGACGAACTCATCGGACTGATACAAAGATAAGTAAAAGGTTTAGCTGTCTCCAGCTTAATTTCAGCTTTTACGTACCCGGAAAAAGTTTTCCGGACAGGGAATCTAGTTCCCACCACTTCCATTTATGATTTATCTAAAGGTTATCTTAAAAAAAAAACACACAGTAGCCAGATCGAGCTGCTCAATTAGTACGATATTGTTCGCTTTGGGCCAAGCTCGCATGATTTTACTCCTATGTTCTCTTCCCAAAAGACCTCGTAATGATTGGACTAGGTGGATACTAATATACAAGGGTTCATTCTCTTGTTAGTATTACCGATGTGGTACCTGGATTGTCCCATAATAGGAAATGTCGTCCCTTCTTAATTTTGCTCGACGGTGAAATCAGTCGAAGGAGGAACCTGAGGAACAATGGACGGTGGCCTGCGGGTTGTTATTCGGACTTCGTTCATTTGAACGAAAACCTGTAAAGAGGCGCGATGATAATACTTGATAACCTGTAAAGAGGCGCGATGATAATACTTGATATGTATCTGTATGTATTTTGATGATAAAGTCGGTATCTAATCATATTTTTATGCTTACCCTAATACTATAGTGTACACAATATAGATATTAAACACACTAATGGAAAAAAAATGAATACATAATTCATTGAGTAAATCTGTAAATGTGATTACCAAACTAGCCTCGAGTCTTTGACCAGTTGACCTGTCGTTTGTACGTAAATAGTCATGGTGCATACTATGGGCTACTTACCACCTTGTTTCAATACATCCACGCACCTGTACTTAATGCCAGTTCGTGGGCCGGGGCACCTTGTCGAATGTCATGGACTTGTATTTTGTTTACAGTAAAACAATATGCATGAAAAGAAATATCCTATATAATTATTAAGCTCGACATATCTATAATAGAAAGATATATCAATTGCTTGCATGGTTACGCGTTAGATTTGTAATTTAATTAATACGGAATTTTGGGTTAGGCTAATCGACTCCACACTTGTGTTGGTTGGTTGGTTGGTTAGAGGACAGATGCAGTCATAGGATTGGAATCATAACGTATTGTGATGATGATGACAATTTTCTCAATAATCTATTCCATTAATTATACACTAACAAGGTTCTTCTTTTCTGTTAGAAGAGAAATTCGTCATGCCAATGAATCTCGTCTCTCTTAAACATTTGATAAGTTCACACGAGCGACTTAGACGGATACAACAACAACTCTACCGATGACCACCACAGAGATCACTGACGGCCAAAATTTGAACCCATAATTTGTTGAATTTAAAGTTGCGCCTCTATCGATCTCACCACAAGTGGCAGTTCATTAATTAGATAAAGTATATATTTTTTTTATAAAATTGCTGTTCTAAAATTATATATAGCAATGAGTACTGTTAAGCTCTTTGTGTGCAGGTAATCTTGCAAAGATTCAGCTTGATTGACGAGATCACCTGCGACGATTGTGAATCAAACTACGAAGAAGCCTACGGCAGAAACTGTACGTTTGGGCCGTTCTTATTGATGAAGACTCCTGAAGTCAACTCCTGAGGAACATTGACTTTCATTTTTGTGCTACGTTTAGGAAATTAATTAATGTTCAGGAAAAAAGGTTTAGGAAATTAATTAGTGGCACAGCATGATCATGTGCGTACACGTACAAATTAGGATGTCGCAATTGTAAAATTGGTGGTGCAAATCTAGGCAGACAGGCACGCATCTTAATCAGCCAGTTACTACACACATATATTAATAAAATATTACCAATAATCATTATTATTCTGCAAAATACTTGGGACTTGTCAAGTAGTGAATAATCAAGTTGATGGGTGATACTAACTCAAAGTATGAATTTATATTCTATAAAGAGTTAATACCCTAGTTTGGCCCGAAGTTTGGCGTATATGTCAGTTTTGGCCCAATTTTTCAAATAAGACAGTTGTGGCCTACTTTCCAAATTATTGGACAAATTTGGCATGGGTTTTAAATTGACCGTCAAAATTGACGGTCAATGATTTTTCCGTTAGTGACTCAGTATTTGGTGCTGACTAGGATCTTAAACGTCATCATTTATTAAATTAAAAAATAAAAACTAATTAAATATATAAATATTTTTTCCCTAAGACTTTTTCCACTCTCCTCTTGGACATACCTCCAATCGCCAAAACCCACTCCCTCGCCGTGATAGATGATGCCCTCGACGTCATTGAGAAAGGAAGTAATTCACCCCTGTCAAACAGAGGGGAAATCAACAAAATCGCTCCTCCAATTTCAATCCCGACCAGCGCCAGAAGTGGATGAGTTTTGTAACGAACCATCGAAAGAAGACGACGCGAGCAGAAGGAGGGAGGTGTTCGGGTCTCGACGGTAACGATTATCGTCGTCGCGGTCCCTTCTCCTCGATCGATGGCCTACCGGCGCCTTCGCCACCAACCTCCTCCCTCTCTCTAGTCGACAATCGAGCCCACAAAAAGCTCGACATCGCCGCCATCAACTCAGATCTGGTGCGGAGGAAGCAGATATCGGGGAATGAGAGAGGATCGTTGGAGAGAGAGTTGAAGGGCGGTGGGTTTATAGCAGCGATGGTGTGAGGGAGAAGACGAACAGCCACCAGTTCGTTCGGCTGAGGGAGAAGACGAACAAAACCTGAATAGGGTCCGAATCCATCAATCTTAACGACGACAGAGTGGAATCTGAGGGGACGGCGACCGCGGTGGAGGAACAAGGAAAAAGAAGAAAAGAGAGTCAATTTGGGCGCCGCCCATTGAAAATCCCTCGCCGCCGAAGCGCATGTCGAGGACGAAGAAGAGGAAAAGGAACCAGTCCCAGTCAAAAGCCCTGCCCCGCGCCCCCGCAGATCTTCTTCCACAGCCGCTCGTTCCACCCGGACGACGTCTTACCCTTGAACGCTCCGGCGTGGAAGTACAC